CCAGAGGCAAGGTGGCACCGCAGCGCCCCCTGGTGGAGCCATGAGCTAAGGCTTTGCTGCCTCCAGCTGGGGTCACTGGAAGCCCCCGGAACCTGTGGCCGAGGGTGAGTGGCTTGGTGCAAAGTCCTGCTGCCGGCAAGATCTAGGGGTCCCAGCTGGCCTGGACGAGGTGAGCTCACGAGGTGAGCTGCTCAGCCACCATGCAACCAGGCGCTGAGCGAGGGCTGGGGAAATCCCAGACTCTGGGGGAGCCGCCCCCGAATTCAGACTCAGCAGGACCTGAGTGCTTCCGGGCATCTACAGGGTGCGATGAGCCCCCCGGGGCCTGGGTCTCACACTCCTGGGACAGCTGGGGAGGGCTGTGGGGAAGGGCTGTGCTCCAAAGCTCTGGTTTGACCAGGACAGCCCCCAGCACCGTCACTCCTGCTGCTCCCCAACTCCCTGCATCCAAGCCCCACCCTCGGGGCCTGGATTTTGTTGTCTGGGTGGGCGCCCAGGTGGCAGGAGGGTGCACGGCGGGTGGGGGGCTTGCACCCATCCATTTCCACGTAATCGGGCTGGAAAGGTCTTGAGGGAGCTCCGGGCACTTGTTTGTTCATCAGTGCAGATGCCAGGCTCAAATTGAGACCCTGGGGTGGCAGCGGCAGAAAGGGGGCAGGGGTCTCGAGGACCCTGGTGCTGGCCCTGGGGGGCCTAGGCAAGATGAAGACAAGCTGACAAGTAAGACGCTGTGTCGCCAGGTCTAGGGGACAAAGCCCGCCCAGAGCAGCCCTGCTGGGGGCCAGCCCCTCAACGGACACCCCAATGCTACCCGGAGAACAGCCCGAAGCACGTGGAGAGTGTTCCCAGGTGCTCCCAGGGGCCCAACGGGGAGGCGACCCACCGCCTGCGGGGGCGTCCAGGCTGGAGCAGTGCCTAGCCTCGGGCAGGATGGAGGAACGGGAGCCTGGACCCTAACATGGAGGCATCTCTGAAGCAGAGTCCCAGACATAAGCATAAACCTCCCTCTCTCCTTAACGATTTTAATAGTTTGGTTTTGCTTTAGAGCCATTCCTGGCTGTGCTCAGGGCTGACTCCTGGCTCTGCGCTCAGAGATTGGGGCTCAGGGCTCATATCGGGTGCCGGGGATTGAACCGGGGTCGGTCACATGCAAGGCAAGTGCCTGACCCGCTGTGCTGTTGACACAGTGACTCCCTTTTGATCGAGACACACATGGACAGCCGCAACCGAAGAGGCTCAGGGAGGGGGGAGGGGGGAAAAGCAGGAGAAGGAGCAGGCGGGGGCTGAAGGGAGGTGCGGGAGGGTGGCATGGGGGAGGGGAGGGGGGGCTGGTCAAATTCTAGCCTGGGCTTGGGTGATTTCACAGGTGTCTGCTGTTTCCCAAATGCTGATGAGGGTGTTAGGAACCAAGTGTGTGATGAACCCATTTTTCTGCAAACCAAGGTGGAAGGGTAGAAGCAGAGGGCACGTGCATGGGCAGGTATGCATGTGTATATGCATGTGTGCATGCATGTTTGTATCTGCGTGTGTTCATGCATGCACACTTGCACGTGTGCATGTGTTTATCCGTGTGTGTATGCAACATAGCATATATCCATGTGTACATGCCTGCATGTAGATGCATGTGTCTATGCATGTTTGCACGCATGTGTTCATATAAATGTGTGCATGTGTGCATTGTGCATGAATGTGTGTGCACACATATGTACACGCATATGTGTGTGCATGTGTGTGTATGTGCATGTCTGCGTATGTGTGTGCACTGGGTTGGTTCCCACCAGCTCAAAGAGGAGGCACCAACGGGGCTAGACAGAGGGCGGGGGGCGGGGGGAGGACCGTGGGGAGCTTGAGGGAGCGGCTGGCTAGTGGCGGGGGCTGGGCAACCTGATCTAGAGAGGGCTGGGGTAGGGAGGCTGAGGGGGTGAGTAGTGGAGGGAGGAGATGCCTGCAGGGAGCACCAAGGCTGAGTGGGCTTTTCGGGGCCGCTGAGGACTCCAGCAGCTCTTGGGTTTCCGCTCCCATTGGCTCTGCTGACCCCTGTGCCAGGGCGGCCCTGCTCAAATGGGGGTTGGGGCAGCAGGTTGGGCTGCTCTGAAGGGTCTGGTGGGGGCGGCCACTGGCCAAGAGCTGGCAGACACCATGGACTCCGTTTTCCTTTTTTTTATTTATTTTTTCTTTTTGGGTCACACCCGGCAACGTACAGGGGTTGCTCCTGGCTCTGCGCTCAGGAATCACCCCTGGAGGTGCTCAGGGGACCATCTGGGATGCTGGGAATCGAACCCGGGTTGGCTGCATGCAAGGCAAACGCCCTCCCCGCTGTGCTATTGCTCCAGCCCCCCCCCCTCCCCCCCGTTTTCCTTTTTAAAACTTTGTATTTAAGTTCCGTACACAAACATAAACAATATACAACTGGAAGAATTTTTACAAACTGAACACATGGCCCCCCGGGGGACTTTTTAACTTTACTGGGGGCGGGAGGGGGATGGAGTCACACCTGGAGGTCCCGGGGTGACTCCCAGCGTTTGGCGGGTTGTGTGCACCCCTGGGGTGCTCGGGGGGACCTGGGCAGGCAGGGACTTGGTGTGAGCACTGCCCCTTCCCTTCCCTTTGCTGGCAGGGCTGTACCGCGGGAGTTGCACACTTGGACGAGGTGTCCAAGCACATCCCAGTGGGCGTGCCCGCAGGGGACAGCGGCCCTCACACACACCCACTAGGGGCACAGGAGTCCCAGATAACGTCGCTGCTGGGCCCATGGTTGGCATGTGGGTGCACTGGGGATCAGACTCAAGGCCTCACGCTCACAAGCTGAGTGTTTTAGCTACGGGGCCGTCTCCTGGGTCTGTGTTAATGACCTCTTTCCGATTCTCCCAGGCATCACTACAGATTTCACAGATGGGGAAACTGAGGCCCACGGAGGTCACACTGTACATGCAGAGCAAGTCCGCTTGAGCATAAATGCTTGTGCCTGGGGTGAGACATCTCTGCCCCATTCCCTCTGTGGGCAGTGTGGGGACAGGGGGTCCTGCCTCTCGTCTCCAGCCCGGGGGTGACCTGGAGGGTGGGGGCTCTCCGCTCCCCCCTGGGTCCTAGAGCATCCGACCCTGCAAACCGCCTGCTGCAGGCAAGTTGGGAAAAGGAAGTGTGCACACTGCCCCCTGGTGGTCAACTGCTGAAGTGCTGGAGGGATTTCCAAACAGCTCCTTTTCTTTCTCTCTTTCTTTCTCTCTCTCTCTCTTTCTTTCTTTCTTTCTTTCATGAAAAAAGAGCACGTAAAAGGTGCCATCTTCACCATTCCTAAGCGTACACTTCAGTGGTGTTGCGTCTATTCATTGTGCGTTGAGTCTGTATCGTTGTACGACCAACTTCCAGGACTTTTTCATCCTGCAAAGCTCTGTCCTCTCACTAAATTGCACCGTGACCCCGTCCCCCTGCTCCTTGCCTGCAGCCCTCCCCTGGCACCTCCTGTTCTCAGTCACCCCGAGGGAGGGTCGAGGGTCAAGAGTCGAGGGTCGAGCCCCCAGAAGCAGGAACTGCCTGGTGTGGTCCCTCCTGTCCCCGGGGGAAGAGTTGAGCATCCCCCAGTGGCTCTCGCCCGGGTGTCCAGGGTGTTCTGGGCTCCAGCAGTGGGGCTCGATTGCCCTTGGCTTCTCCTCTGGTCCCCTCCGGCCTGCCCCGCTCCCTCTGGGAGGGGCTGTTGGCACCCCGGGGCCCGGAACCCTGTCACCAGCCCTGGCCCCACTGCGGTCAGCCGTGAGCGGCTACCCTTCTCACAGTGAAGGGCGAAGCAAAGGGCCGTGATTGATGTGGGGACCAGGCCAGGCCAGAGGCCGGCAATGGGGGGCAGGAGGCAGCGGCCCCGGCTGAGATGCTGCCTGGGTCAGACCCAGGTGCCTGTGGAGGGGGAGGGGTGGTGGCGTGCAGCTGGGGTTGGCCACTGGGGAAACCACTGAGCTGCACTGGAGTGCAGGCCCCTGACATGGCTGTCGGTGTGAGCGAAGGCGCCTGTTTGAACGGGCCCCTGGGGTAGGCCCCACCCCCAGCACCATCAAAACTGGGCTGGGAATTGCTGGGGTGGGCCCTAGCAAAAGCAAGTGAGGAGCCACAGTACAGAGGGAAGGGCATTTGTCTTGCACGCGGCCGACCTGGGTTTGATCTCCGGCACCCCAGCAGGACCCCCAGAGCCCCACCAGGAGAGATTTCTGAGCACAGAGCCAGAAGTAAGCCCTGAGCATCACTGGGTGTGGCCTAACACCCCCCCCCCCAAGAAAAAACACAACAAAACAAACTCCCCCCAACAAAACCAAACCCAAATATTGTCATTCCTGACACAGCCTAATAGTCCCTGAGCACCGTTCCCTCCGCCCCCACCCCTCCCCGCACAAAAAAAAAAAAAAAAAAGACCCCCAAGGATAGCGAGAGGGATTCGCTGTCCCGGAAAGAGATTGAAGAGGGAAGGAAGCCAACCTAGATCAAGTGCGGAAAGTAGGTCAGTGCAGTTAGCAGGATGCTACTTAGTGAAAAAAGCAATTTAGGAGTTTCCCCGGAGGTTACTTTTCCGGGAAAGTGACCTTTTTTTTCCCTTTTTTTTTTTAAGGAAAAAAAAGAAAGAAAAAAATCTTATTTTGGAACGCGTGGCTCTACTGCCACCTGGTGGCGTCGCCGGGTACCACACGCGAGGACGAGCTTCTCCTCGTCACTCCTTGCTCGCTTGCATGATGGGGTGTGCCCAGCAGAGGGCGCGCTGCCCCGATTTCTAACCACCACGTTCTTGGCAGGAATTAAGCGGGGAGGGCGTTTGCCTTGCACGCGGCTGACCTGGGTTCGAACCCCTGCATCCCATAGGGTCCCCTGAGCACCGCCAGGAATAATTCCTGAGTGCACAACCAGGAGGAACCCCTGGGCATCGCGGGTCTGAACCCAAAAGATAACCTCTCCCCCCCCCAAAAAAAAGACACTTGATCAAGTTTTCTGTATAAAAAAATTGAAAGAAGTTGCTATTACCAGATAAAGCATCCCTGGTTGGGCGGGCAAACGTGACCTCAGTTCTCCTGCTCATGCCCCCACTGAACATCACTAATGGACTTGGTTGGTCCGTGGCAAACATCACTAATGATAATTTGGTCCATGGCCGACACACGGCATCCATCACAAATGGCTGGGTGGTCCACAGCAGACATCACTGACGGATGAGCCTCTGACTCGTCTTAGTGAATCATCCATTTTTCAAAAATCCTTCGAAGACTGGCCCACTGTGGCTGCCGTTCCCACCAACAGTTCTTGGGTCAAGGATGGAGGGGAGGCTGCCATGGGTTTCAGAAGGAAGGTTTGGGGGTTGGGGGTGATGGGCACTGAGAGGCTGTGGAGGAGGGGGCACAGGAGAAGCTGGGAGCCCACACTGGCGCCCAACCCGGCAGCCAGAGCCTGGCGAGCAGCGAGGGGGCGATCTGGGGACCCTCTGGGAGGGCCTGACACAGGGGCAGCCCAGGAGGTGGGTGGATGCCGGGAAGGAAGGCAGAGGAGGGGCGAGGCTCTGCCTCTCTCCCACACACGAGTGCAAGGGTCCAGCAGGCGGCCCCACATCCCGTCCTGAGCGCGGCTGCCCTCTGTCCACCTAGTACCGTTACTGGTTTTCTGAGCGACACACAGCAGCCTAGCAAGGGAGAGAGAAGCAGCTGTCACCCCACGTGGCTGCAGCCCCCGAGGCCGGGGCAAGGCAAGGACCTCATCTGGGAGGACTCCCGCCCCTCCCCCGCATTCACCTTCACAGGCCAGGGCTCAATGGCCTTGCCGTCCCTGCCCAGGCAGCACGGGGCACTCATGTAGGCTGTGGCTTCTTTGGCCAGCAGGTCCCAGCGGGCACACTGGCCTAGGTTGCCTGTGGGGTCAGCTGGATCCAGGATGATGGGCCTGCAAGAGACGGGCCCTCCGGGGTTGGCCTTGATCCTGGCAGCTCCTGGGGTGCACCTGTGGGCGCTTCTCCTCCTGCACCCCACACTGGGCAGGGCCCCCACGGGCTGCACGGCTGCAGGCGCACATGGGAGGGTTGGCTGGGGGTGCACACCGGGCACCGTCCCTCTGGCAGCCGGGCAGACATTACTAATCAGCACCAGAGCTCAGACCATTACCCTGCAGGCCAGCAGGCATGGCAGATCAATGCCAACACCAGCATAGCAGATCAGTGCCGGCCCAGCAGATCAATGCCGGCCCCAGGCACGGCGGATCAATGCCAGCACCAGGCATGGCAGGTCAGTGCCAGCCTGGGCACAAAATAGCACCAGCACTGCCCTTTCTGCACCTGCCGAGGACGACAGGAACAGCGGAGGCTGTGCCCGACGGAGTCAAACCCCACCCAGAGTCTCTCTGGGCACATTGCTCCGAAGAGCCACCAGCCGCCAGAGAGTGTCGTCTCTGCCCTTCTGGGGCTATCGCTGGCAGGGCCACTGGCAGGGCTGCCGGGTTGGTAGTGGCGGACAGGGCCCAGCTGAACGGGGTTTGAGGGATTAACTGAACGGAGTTTAGGGGTTTTCATTCTGTTCCTGTGCCTGCCTGCCCCTGGGGACATGCTTGGCAGAGTGCTTGTACCTCAGCCCCCAATTTAAAATTGCTTTGGGGGGCTGGAGTAATAGCACAGCGGGTAGGGCGTTTGCCTTGCACGCGGCCGACCCGGGTTCGATTCCCAGCATCCCATAGGGTCCCCTGAGCACTGCCAGGGGTAATTCCTGAGTGCAAGAGCCAGGAGTAATCCCTGTGCATTGCTGAGTGTGACCCAAAAAAGCAAAAAAAAAATTGTTTTGGGGCCACAGCTGGAGGTGCTCAGGGACCATATACAGTGCAGGGTGGGGGGCTCAAACCTGGGTGGGCCACATACCCCACAGGGCGTCTCACCTGCCCTTCTACCTCTCTGGGCCCAGCGTAGGGTTTTTTTTTTTTTTTTTTTTTTTTTTTTTGCTTTTTAGGTCATACCTGGCAATGGACAGGGGTTACTCCTGACCCTGCACTCAGGAATTACCCCTGGTGCTCAGGGGACCATATGGGATGCTGGGAATCGAACCCAGGTTAGCCGAGTGCAAGGTAAACGCCCTCCCCACTGTGCTATTGCTCCAGCTCCCCCCCGCCAGCGCAGTTTTTAACGTGCTGGGACAAGTTTGCCCCCAGTGTGGCCAGCCATGTTCTTATCAGAGACGGTCATGGGCTCTCTGAAATTCATTTTTTTCTTTTTTTGCCTTTTGGGGTCACACCTGGGGATGCTCAGGGGCTCCTCCTGGCTCTGCACTCAGGAATTACTCCTGGTGGTGCTCAGGGGACCCTATGGGATGCCAGGGATCGAACCTGGGTTGGTCGTGTGCAAGGCAAACGCCCTCCCCTCTGTGCTATCGCTCCGGCCTCTGAAGTTCAAAACCCAACTCTGCTTCCAGAAGGATGCTCAGACCCAGAGCAGGGTTTTCCTGCCTCTGCTCTGGGCCGTCAGGCACTGGGGCGGGAGGGACGCTGGCCCCGGGGCTGCTGACCTGGGCTTCTGCAGCTGCTGCTCCAGGAAGCCCTCCAGGGTCTGGTTGTCGTAGTTGGTGGTCCAGTAGATGCAGAGCTGGCGGTACTGCGTGACCAGCTCCAGGACGGTGCGGAAGCCCTCGGCCATGCTGAACTGCTGGTCCCCACTGCCCTGCTCCCAGGCGTAGACGGTCAGCAGCTCCAGCCCGTGCTGCGGGGGCAGTGAGCCCCGGCCGCTGGGCATCCGGCTGCACTGTCGGGTGGGAGAAAGGACGACCGGTCGCCACAGCACCAGGGGGTGCTGCGGGCATTGCCCAGCCGGCTGCCCTGGCCACCTGCACTGTGCCCGCCTCGATGGCTGCCCACCCACGTGCAGGGCCTGGACCGGGGTTCTCGCCGCCGCCTCTGCAGAGATCGGGATCCCCCCCTCCACCGCGCTTCCTGGCAGAGAAACGGGCCCTTCTGCACTCCCCTTCCCAGGCTCCCCGCCGCACCTGGCGATACCAGTGCTTCACCAGGCGGATGAGACTCTTGAGCTTGGTGGGTCGCATGGAGATGAAGTCGCGCTGGCGCTCGGTGAAGCAGCATGAGAACTCGCCCGCGTTGTGGTAGCTGTGGATGAGGTCCAGGTACACCTGGGGGCTGGGCCTGGAGCCCGGCACCAGCTGGCCTGGGGGGGGGTGCCAGGAGGTGCCGCGTCACTTCCTCGAGAACATCTCCCTGGGCATGTCCCCGGGGCGGGGGGCTGGGGTGGAGGAGAGCGGTGGAGACGCCTCCTCCCTGGACGGATCTGACACTCGGACACTTCCGCTCTCCCTCTCCCTCTGGGGTGCTGCAGGATACACGCTGCACACCCCCTTCCCGCCCCGCCCCCCGCGGCCCCCTCCCCCTCCAGCTCTCACCTCAGAGCCCAGGAGCAGAGCAAACTCGTGATGTGCCCACCTGCCCCCCTGCCCTGCCCGCCTGGTGCTGGCTTTCCCAAAGAGAGCACCGGAGCCCGGTCCTTCCTCCCTCAGCTCACTCCAAGCCCAGGACTAAAGGGCTCATGTCTTTTTTTTTTTTTCTTTTTCGGTCACACCCGGCGATGCACAGAGGTTACTCCTGGCTCATGCACTCTGGAATTACTCCTGGCAGTGCTCGAGGGACCATATGGGATGCTGGGAATCGAAGCCAGGTTGGCTGCGTGCAAGGCAAATGTCCTGCCCGCTGTGCTATGACTCCAGCCCCTGCGTCTTGTTTCATCCCAGCTTTATCTCTGGGTGTTTACCAAGGGAGCTCAGGTGGCTGGCGGCTCCAAATCGGGCTGGGGCAAACACCCCTGACTGTCCTCATTATCCGATGAAGACCTAAGGACATCCCTGTTCAAGGTCATCCAACACGAGGTGGGCCAGAGGCAGCTCAGGGCCTCCGCCAGCTCCCATGGCCCCACGCGTGATCTAGAAGGGGTCCCTGCAGGCACCTTGCGCCGACCCACCCGCCTGGGCCCTGTCTCGGGCCTCTAGACCCTCACCCAGGGCGTCGAAGGCTGGTAGGACGTCAAAGTCCACACTCTGGTCCAGCAGCGTCCGGGAAGACAGCGAGAAACTCAGCACGCGGGGATTGTCCCACTTGGAGATCTCAAAGGCCACCTCGAACTGTTGCGCCCGCTGGCACGCCTCAAGCTGCCTGCGGATCTCAGAGATGATCTCGGCCCGCCGGCTGCCCTGCTCCGTGAAGTGCCCGAAGCAGCTGAGGAAGACCACCAGGTCGGCGTCCGAGCGGCCCCGCAGCGCCGTGCCCTTGGCTGAAGACCCGCCCTGCGGAGGACAGGGCAGCTGGAGGGGCCCTGGGGGCCGGTGGGCACCTCTGGGGGCGGGGGGTGCCGCCCACCTCCCCAGCTCCACCTGCCTCTTGCGACATGGAAAGCTCACGTGACACGCGTGGGGAAAAGAGGAGCAGGAGAGCAGGTGCAAACCCCTCCACGTGGCAGAGTGCCTCAGCGTGGCTGGGGCCGGGAGGATTGGAAAGGTTTTTTATTTTGGGGGTGGGGGCAACCCCGAAAATGCTCAGGGGCTGATCCTGGCTCTGCGCTCAGGGCTGGAGTCTCTCTGCAGTTTTCCCTCTTTCGTTCCTCAAGCTCGACTGCAGTAGAAGGTTTTTTTTGGGGGGGGGGGTTATACCCGGCGATGCACAGAGATTACTCCTCCTGGCTCTGCACTCGGGAATTCCTCCTGGCAGTGCTCAGGGGACCATATGGGATGCTGGGAATTGAAGCTGGGTCGGCGGCGTGCAAGGCAAATGCCCTATCCGCTGTGCTATCGCTCCCGCCCCTGTAGTAGAACTTTTTAAAAATAACCCTGAGTGATTTAATTTGCACTGCGATGGGACTCGGTCATCAGTGTGTGTTTTCAAGTCCTTTCTGGGGTTTTATGATGAAAAACAGGTGAGCATCAGTGAGTGAGGTAACCTTCCTCATGGGTTAGCGGTGAGGAAGTTGAGGACCAGAGAGGAGATGGCACATGCCTGGGGTCACACAGCAAATCATTGGGCCAGGTCTTTCCCTAGATTCCTTCCTATAACTCTGGCACAGTGAGAGATTGGGCTTTTTGTGTGCCCTGGAACCTGGCCACAGTCTGCATTCTGGTGACGTCTCCGAGCCCCAGCGACTGGTCTCAGGATGGGTCTGCAACCCAAACCAGGCCAGGGAGATGCAAGCCCCGGATTTTCATTTGAATTTGAAGAACGGGGAGTTTGCCTCCCGAGAGCTTAGGAGACACCAAAGCCCATCACACAGAAAGGACCCGCAGACCATTCTGTGGTGGGCTGCAGAGAAAGTCTGAGGACCCCGTGCGGGTTCCTAGATCACGCTGTGCCTGAAGGCTCCCCGAGTCCAGGCTCTTGCACTGACAACATCAGGAACTTCTTTTGTTGCGTCTTTGGACTGGCTGTCGAGGGTGACTCGAGGGACTCGCTCAGCGCATCTGGGCCCTCCCTCCGCCACTGTCCCGTGTTCGGGTTTACCCACTGGGCCTGGCCTCGTATCGAGTGCTACCAGGACCACGAAGGTATCAAGACCTGGTCCTCAGAGACCTGCAGGCCCCCAGCACTGTCCCTGCACTCACCTTGACTACCTTGAGCACCTTGGTGGTAGAACCCCGGAAGCAGTTATCCCGCAGGAACGCACAGATGATGTCCACGGCCTTGTTCACCTGAGCCAGGAAGCGGCGGTCGGGCTGGAGAAAGTCGCTGATGAACTTGTCCAGGCCCCCTGCTGGGGTCTGGCTCAGTAGGGCGGGCTGCAGGGAGAAGGGACAACTGGACAGGGGGTCCCAGCTGGCCTCTGAGGCCCCCCCAGGCCGGAGCGTCGCAGGGGGCTGAGTTCCAATTCTGGCCTCCAGCGGGCAGTCTCTGTTTCCCTTTCCTGGTCTCTGCATCAGATGCGGGGCAGGGGACCTTCTGCAGAGGCCTTGGGGGCCCAAAGCCTCCCCTTGGGAGTGGCCAGTACTTGGTACTCCTCCTGGCAGGTGCCCGGGAGGGAGGCTGGGGGAAGGTTCTGTGTCTCTGATGGACGGGGCGGGGCAGGAAATGGAGCCATGAGCTGAGCCAGGGGTTTCCTGAACCCTCATTCCCCCCCATCCCCCCAGCCTCGTGCAGGGACAAAGAATGGAGTGAGGCCTGGCTGGACAGGAGGCCAGGCCCGCCCGAGAACCCCTCCTTACCATCACATCCCAGGGGGCCACGGGCGTCTCTTCTGAGTTCATCAGGCAGGCCTCGGTCCTCAGGGCCGCCGCTTCCTGGGCCAGCAGCTCCCAGTTTCCTTGGGCCACGTTCCAGGAGGGATCGGCAGGATCCAGGATCAGGGGTCTGGGGGGCAGAGTGAGGGGCAGGTGGGGGTGTAGCCAGTGAAGGGGCCTGTGAGAGGGCTGGCGAGGCAGGGTGGGGGCCGGGGAGAGGGTGGAGGCCGTTAGATCCTGAGCTTTGGCCTCGACCCTGGGCAGGAAGCTCTGACAGGCCCTTTGCTTTGAGAAAAGCTCTTTCATGGAACCAAAAAAAAAATGGCTTTGAGGGTCCCGGAGGATAGTGGCGGGGAGGGCACTTGCCTTTGCCGTTTTTTGGTTATTTATTATTATTTTTTATTAGTGAAACACCAGGAGGTACAGTTGTAGACTTACAAACTTTCGAGCTTGGGTTTCAGTTATACAGTGATCGAGTACCCATCCCTCCACCAGTGGAGGGCGCTTGCCCTTAACACACCCGACCTGGGTTCAATCCCCAGCATCTCATAACATTAGTCTCCTGAGCACTGGTAGGAGTAATCCCTGAGCACAGAGTCAGGAGTAATCACTGAGCACCGCTAGGTGTGGCCCCCAAACAAACAAAACCAAAACGACTGGCTTTAGCTTTCCCGAGGGCACCTGTGCCTGGATGCCCCAGCTCTGGGGAGGCACAGAATGAGGCGCAGGGCGATGGCCTCTGGCTCGGCCCCCCCATGAGCACAGGGGGCCATGTGGGAGCAGGCAGGAGGCGCCCGTGTCACCTGGGTTTGTGGAGCTGCCGGAGCAGGTGCATCCTCAGAGCCGGGTCCTCCAGGTCGTAGTTGACCGTCCAGTAGACGCAGAGCTGGGGGTGTTGCTGCACGAGCCCCAGGACGGTGGCGAGGCCCTGGGCCATGTGGAACTGGTCTTTCTTGCAGCCTTGCTCCCAGGCGTAGATGGTGAGGAGTTCCAAGGCATAGGCACAGGGCAGCGAGGCCCCCTCAGACTGTCCTTCCTTCCGTGCCGCGACCTGCACCACCAAGTCCCCCCCCCAGAGATTCAGAGGAGCTTTCTGAAGGCAAGGCGCACCCCTCCATGCTCTGAGAAGGAGGGGAAGGGAAGGACTGAATCACAGAGGGAGCAGGACCTCAGGGGAGCCCGGAGACCATGCACATGTAAACAGTATGATTGTTTTGATCATTTCCACGAAGGGACATCGTGGGTGCATTTCTGTGGGAAAATTGCTTCCAGGGTTCTACCACCATACTACTGTTTCATAACCTTGTCCAGACTCCCCTCCATGGGACTCAATGGGTTGGATTTTGCCCCAAAACCCTCACCCCCACCCCCGCATTTAACTTTTCTTTCTTTTTTTTGAAAAAGAAACGCAATGCACAGGGGTTACTCCTGGCTCATGCATTCAGGAATCACTCCTGGCAGTGCCCGGGGGACCATATGGGATACTGGGAATCGAACCCAGGTCGTCGGCGTGCAAGGGAAACGCCCTACCCGCTGTGCTATCACTCCAGCTCTGTCGTTGAATGCGGGGTTTCACCCCCCAGAAATATATGCCAACACCCATCACAGTGGTTAGCAAGAGTGGGAACAAGAGTTGGCATTTCAGAGGTGAGCTCAGAGCACATGCCAAAGGATGCTGAGGATCTGGAACAAACTAAGATGAGTAATGAGGTGGGGACAGCACAGGGAAGGCTGGGGTCGGGAAAGAACGAGGAGACCGTCAGCAGTGAGCGGGGAGGGTCACAAGTGGGCTAGAGAGGAATGGGAACCAGAATCTGATGGACAAAAGATTCTCCCTTTTCAGAGACCTCCAGGGATGGGCAGGAAGCTGAGGAGTCAGGGGCGGGCCTTCTAGTCGGTGGAACCAATAAGAAACGAAGCAAGGCTGATGTCTGAGCAAGGGAGGAGCTGATTGGCTGGGTGGTTGCCATGGCAGTGGCTGCTTCCTGGCAGGGCCAAGGGGGATGCCCGGGTCTCACCTGGCGGTACCAGTGCTTCACCAGCAGCAGCAGGTTCTTCAGCTTGGCCGGCCGAGTGTTCACGAAGTTTCTCCGCAGCTCCGCGAAGCAGGCGGCGTGTTCGCCCCCCGGGCAGCCGCTGTCCAGGAGGGTGGAGTAGACCCGGGGCTCGGGCTTGGCACCTGAGCTGAGCGGCCCTGGGGACAAGAAGAGTCACTAAGTGTGTCGGTCTGAGCCCAGGCGACGCACCTGCCGTTAGTGCTGTTTGAACACCATCTACATAATGCACAAAGCATTGCCTTGCTGTCTGTAATACCCAATACAGTCAATCAGAATCCTTCTTTATTTGCTTATTTATTTATTTATTTTGCTTTTTGGGCCACACCCAGCAATGCTCAGGGGTTACTCCTGATTCTGCGCTCAGGAATTAGTCTTGGCAGTGCTTGGGAGACCATATGGGATTGAACCCGGGTTGGCGGTTTGCAAGGCAAATGCCCTATCCACTGCTCTGGCCCCTATTTATTTATTTTTTGCAGAGTGCCTGGAATGTGCTCAGAACATGCCTGTCACTGTCACTGTCACTGTCCTCCCGTTGTTCATCGATTTGCTCGAGCGGGCCCAGTAACGTCTCCATTTTGAGACTTCTTGTTACTGTGTTTGGCATATCGAGTACGTCACGGGGAGCTTGCCTAGTGACCGATAAGCATCAAACATTGCTATTGTTTTTTTCGTTCTCCCAACAGTGAACAGGGATTACTCCAGCCTCTGTGCTCAGGAATCACTCTCGAAGGTTCGTGAAGGACCCTATTTTCGTGCCAGGAATTGAGCCAGAGGTGGCCATGTGCAAGGTGAGCTCCTCAGCACCCCCATACTATCTTCCTGACCCTCAAAACATGCTATTCTTAAAAGTACAGAACATTTGGTGTGAATGATCATATGTTCGTATATGAGAGTCCTGGCATGCAGCAAAGGTCTTAAAGTGCACACTCTCAATGGCATATATTAAAATCTATTCTTACTAAAGTAAGATTTAGCTCAAAAAGTTAGAAAATAAACTAAAAAGTAAGTCCTTTGAAATAATATTACATGCAATTTCTTAAAAAAAATCAAGAAGCTAGGAAGAACTATTGGCATGGTTAAATTGTAGTGAGGCTATCACTGTCACTGTCCTCCAGTTGTTCATCGATTTTCTCAAGCAGGCCCAGTAACGTCTCCATTGTGAGACTTCTGTTACTGTATTTGGCATATAGAATACGTCACGGGGAGCTTGCCAGGCTTTGCCGTGCGGGCGAGATACTCTCGGTAGCTTGCCGGGCTCTCCGAGAGGGGCAGAGGAGTCGAACTCGGGTCGGTCATGTTGGCTGCGTGCAAGGCAAACACCCTACCTGCCGTGCTATCGCTCCAGCCCTGTAAAACATTTTTTTTTAATTTTATTTTTTGGGTCACACCTGGCGGTGCTCAGGGGTCACTCCTGGCTCTGCACTCAGGAATTACTCCTGACGGTGCTTGGGGGACCATATGGGATGCTGGGTATCGAACTTGGGCCCTTTGTGAGGCAAACGCCTAGCCACTGTGCTATAGCTCCAGCCCCTGTGAAATGTTTCTAATGCAAATTTTGCAACCTTTAAAACACTGTAGTTACTGCATACCTCTGGATGTTGATAATAATGGTGGCCACTTCAGTAACTCAAAGGACTTTTGTGTTACTTAGTTGCTGGACCATGTCCCTGGAGATCTCTGACCTTAATGCATCTCCCTAGCTTTTAATTAGTTTTCAGTGCTTGGTGGAGCAGGGATGGGCGTCACAGAGGCCAGCAGGTCTCCCCTGAATGCTCTCCGCCCCCCCCCACACCCCCGCACTCTCCACTCTCTCTGAGGCACGAGTTGGGAGCCCTCACCCAGAGCATCAAAGACAGGCAGCAGGCTGACGTCTGTCCCGCCTTCTGCGGCCTCTGGCACCAGCTGGAACTTCAGGTCCCCAGGTTCCTGCTGCTCACGAAACTTGAGGCTCAGCCCAGGGGCGGGGCTCCCCAGGGATTCCAGCTGTGCCCGCATCTCATCGAGGACCTCGGCACGGCGGGACTCCTGGTCCTTGTGGTTCTTGAAACCATTGACGAACAGGATGAGCTCTGCGTCGCTGCTGTCCCTGAGGTCCGTGCCGCGGCCGAAGGAGCCGCCCTGCAGATGGGGGGTAAGGACTGTCTCCCTCCAGCCAGGGGCGCTTGGGGCCCCGGGTCCCGCCATGCCCACACCCCCTGCTCTCTCATGGATGGGCACGGGCTGCCAACGCGGGGGTGCTGAAGTCTGGCAGAGGTGTGGGGTCTGCCTGCATCTCCCACCACACACAGGTAGTCTGCATGGAGCCAGGCCTGGCGGGGAGCTGCAGGGTGCTGGCCTCAGGGACTAGGTCTGCAGCCGGCGCTGGCTGTGCATCTGGACCCCAGGCTGCGAAGTGCAGACTCAGCCCCGAATGGAAGCCGCATGTGTGCGTTGTGGGTCTGACTGCATCCACACACAGGCTCACAGGCTCTGCCCCTTCGTTCATGCATCAGCTCTACAGGTGTCCACCCGTGCATGCCCCCAGGATGCCCTCAGGCCAGCACCGGGCCTCACAGGTGCATGCTGGGGAGCTTGGGGGACAGTGGCTAGAGTGAAGGTCAGAGAGAGACCAGAGCCAGGGCCTTTGGGGGTCCCTGTGCTCACAAACCCAGGCCATGGTGAGTCGAATGGTCTGATTGTGATTAAAAAAAAATCTATCATTCATAAAAAGTTGGTGTTCTGTTCACAATAGCCAGAATCTGGAAACAATCCGAGTGCCCAAGAACAGATGACTGGTTAAAGAAACTTTGGTATATCTACACAATGGAATACTACGCAACTATTAGGAAAGATGAAGTCATGAAATTTGCTTTATAAGTGGAGGGTCATGGAGAGTATCGTGCTAAGTGAAATGAGTCAGAAAGAGAGGGACAGACTCACTACACTCATTTGTGGAATATAAAATAACACAATATGATGGGGCTGGAGAGATAGCACAGCGGGTAGGGTATTTGCCTTGTATGCAGACAACCCGGGTTTGATTCCCAGCATCCCATATGGTCCCCTGAGCACCGCCAGGAGTGATTCCTGAGTGCAGAGCCAGGAGTGATCCCTGTGCATAGCCGGGTGTGACCCAAAAAGCAAAAATAAATAAATAAATAAATAAATAAAAATAACACAATATGAGACGGACACCCAAGGACAGTAGAGACAGGACCAGGAATATTGCTCCATGGTTGTTAGCCTGCCTTATGAGCTGGGAGAGAAGGCAGCTGGGATAGAGAAGGGATCACTAAGACAACGATGGTTGGAGGGATCGCTCGGGATGGGAGACGTGTGCTGAAAGTAGATAAAGTACCACACGTGATGGCCTCTCAGAATCTGTATTGTAAACCATAATGCCCAAAAGTAGAGAGAGAGGATGGGGGAAATTGACTGCCATAGAGGCGGAGGGAGGGATGGACAGGGGGGATACTGAGGACATTGGTGGTGGGGAACGTGCACTGGTGGAGGGATGGGTGTTCGATCACTGTATGACTGAAACTCAAACAGGAAAGCTTTGTAACTGTAGCTTATGGTGATTCAATTAAAAAAACAAAAACCAAAAACCATTGGTTGGTCCATACTCCTGCCCAGCACACCACCCCTTGTGCTCACCTACTTCCGATCAGTGCTGGCAGCATCCCCGCCCCCGCCCTCGTGGCCTGGCAGGGACTCACCTTGCAGGCTCTCGAGGCCTTGTGGATGCTGTGCTTCTGGAGGTGCCGCAAGATGCCGTCCAGGGCCTGGCCCACCAGCCTCTGGGACTGTGGGCTCGGCCTCAGGTGGTCCTCAATGAAGCGGTCCAGCTGCTTGGCGGGGACCTGACCCAGACCTGAACCCGTCGCTGGCGCAGAGGGGGCTGCGAGAGTCCCGGTGCTGGGGGCTGGACGAGGAGGCTGTGCGCTCGCCACACCGGGCCCGACAGTCTCATGGCTCCTGCTGTCCTGGGGTTCTATGGGCACCGGGACTGGATGGATGGGGTGATCCAAACCTGGGCACCCGGACCGCGGAAGGTCCTGGGGGTCAGGGGAAGGAGCTGTCACATGCAAGCAGAGGTTTCTCGGTCCCTTCATGGCAGTCCCACCCACTGAGAGGCAGCGGTGGAGCCCCAAGAAGGCAGGGCCAGGCCCTCCAACGGTGCGCCCCAGGGTGGGCGGCAGGGCAGCCCTGCCCAGGGGGAATTAGATTCCCCACCTTCCCGCCAGCCCCTCTGCCAGTCCTGCTCCCCATGGCCCAGGAGATGGCAGACACACAGATCTGGGGTGATTCCCTCACGCTCCCACTCACATGCCCGTCCCAGGGCTGCACACAGCTGCCGGCCGCTTGCAGGAAGCACGGTTGGTTGAAGCAGGACTCGGCCTCCTGGGCCAGCACATCCCAGCGCCACCTCGGCCCGCCCCCCACATCCCATGTGGGGTCCGCTGGGTCCAGGATCACGGGCCTGCTCCAGAGAGAACAGAACATTCTGGTTAGCAAGATGGTCAAGGCCAGGGGGCACGCACATCCAACTCAGCTCTCCAGGGTGACCTTCGCAGGCGACCTGCCTTCCTGGAGCCTCAGTTTCCCGACTTTCAAAGAACAGGGTGAGCAGGGCCAGAGTGACAGAACAGCGACCCAGGTTCGATCCCCAGCACCCCATATGGTCCCCCGAGCACTGCCAGGAGTAATTCTTGAATGTGGAACCAGGAGTAAGCCCCAAGCAGGAGTAATCCCTGAGCATTGCTGGAACTCTCTCTCTCTCTCTCTCTCTCTCTCTCTCTCTCTCTCTCTCTCTCTCTCTCACACACACACACACACACACACACACGAATGGGAGAACAGCCACACCTGGCAGGTCAGGCCTGGCCAGTGGTCCTCAGCTCTGCTGGCAGGAATCATGTGACCGGGATTCACCCTTGGCACTGTGAGTCAACACCTGACTCAGATACCCAGGCACACACATCAGCACTCATATACACCAATGCTGACATGCTCCAAACACACATAAGCAGGCACACACATGAATCAACACAGATCGATATGCATACTCGAACACCGTCGACACACACCACCATGTACGTATATGAATAGGCACATGTACTACCGCACGCCAATGTGGATATGCTCCAAACACACAGGAATGTGTATACACACGAACACAACATATATACCACTAAAGCAAACCAACATGCAAACACACAAGTCACAACACATGCACCAACATATACAAGCACCAACACACACACATGTCAACACACGCACCAGCACATAAGCCCAGGAGTGTTCATTGCAGCCCTGTGTGGACCCTGTGCAGCACCCTGTGTGGACACATGTGGCCCGTCCATGCAGGGGACTGCGACTTGGCGTGGAACGGGAGCAGGGAAAGCTCTTGAAGACACGGGGAGCAGGGCAGAAAGGACGCGAGCACGAGCCCAGGGAGATGAGGCGGGAGAGACGGGGAGAGATCCAAGGAAGCTTCTGGAAGGCGAGAAACCCAACCCTGACGTGACGGCGGTCCCCAGTTCATCCTGCAAAGACTTGGGGTTCCCATATTACAGGTCACTTGGATGCTCCTACACACGGGGCCCGTGTTAAAGCCCTGAGACCTGGCTGGCTCGGCTGATTGGTGTGGGGAGCTCTGCCCACCCCAGCACTGTCCCTCTCACTGACGCCCACCCCCATCCGGGTTCAGGACAGAGGGCCGGGAGGAACCTGGGTCTCTGGAGCTGGCGCTGCAGCAGCTGGGCAAGGACGGGGTCCTCGAAGCCATAGTTGAGGGTCCAGAATACACACAGGTGCTGGTACCGCTGGAGCAAGCCCAGGACGGTGCGGAGGCCCTGGGCCAGGCTGAAGGCCGGCTGCCCGCAGCCCTGCTCCCAGGCGAAGATGGTCAGCAGCTCCAGGGCGTAGGCGGGAGGCAGCTGCTCCCTGCTCACCCCCGGGGGGAGCACCTGCAGGGGCAGGACCGGGCCAGGTGTGAGGAGGCCCGCAGGGAGCACAGCAGGACCCCTGGGGTCCCCCGCGGGTCTCACCTGGCGGTACCAGTGCTTCACCAGCAGCAGCAGATTCTTCAGCTTGGCCGGCCGAGTGTTCACGAAGTTTCTCCGCAGCTCCGCGAAGCAGGCGGCGTGCTCGCCCCCCGGGCAGCCGCTGTCCAGGAGGGTGGAGTAGACCCGGGGCTCGGGCTTGGCACCTGAGCTGAGCGGCCCTGTGGGAGTGCAGCACAGGGGTGAGGACGGGGCTCGCAGTCAGGCAGGGATGGGACTGGGCTCAGCAGAGGGAGAGTTTGCAGGGGGGAGTGGAACGGGCCGGGCCACCCCTCACCCAGGGCGTCAAAGGCCGGCACCAGGCTGACGTCCATCCAGTGCTCTGAGTCCGGGGATGCCAGTCGGAACTGCACAAGCCCGGGGGTGTTCTGCGTGGGCAGTTCCAGGCTCAGGTCCTGGAGGGGCTCCTGCCTCCAGGCCTCCAGCACCGCTCGCATCTCCCGGAGGATGCTGGGCCGCAGGGGCCCCTGGTCCTCATAGCTCTTGAAGCAGTCCAGGAAGATGATGAGCTCCGCATCGCAGCCGCCCCTCAGGGCCGTGCCCCGGCCGGAGGAGCCCCCCTGGGGGCAGAAAAGCCAGCTGAGAGGGTCTGGCAGGTGGCTGGCGGCCGTGGGAGACCAGCTGGCCACCCAGTTCAGGGCGTCTGGAGCCGAGGACGGCAGGCTGCATCCCTGAGAGGCCACCTTTAGGCTACAGGTCCTGATTTTCTGATCTTGGCAAGAAAACCACCCCACACCAGGTCCGGCGATGCACAGGGTTTCCTCCTGGCTCTGCACTCAGGGATTACTCCTGACGGTGCTCAGGGGACCATATGGGATGCTGGGAATCGAACCTGGGTCACCCTCGTGCAAGGCAAAAGCCCTTCCACATACCTGCTGTGCTATGGCTCCAGCCCTGAGGGGCGGAACTTCTTTCTGCAAAGCCCTTAGCTGAGGATCGGGGAAGGGTGCTGGCTTGATGGGGGAACCCCTGGCCCTGTGGAATGTCTGGGACCTGCCAGGTCCCTTGTAACGCTGTGGGTGCGGGAGAAGCTTCCAGAGAGGGGAGACGAAGGACCGGAAGTCAGATTCTCCACGTGCCTACCAGCCCACGTGGGCAAGACAAACAGGATGGTTTCCCACCTACTCATCCTGGGAGACCCTCCCTTCCTCCCTCACCAGCGTTGGTGCGGGGGCTCCTATCTCGACCCGACGTACCCTCCTTTTCACAGCCCCTCCCATCTGGGCCACTACAAGGAGGGACAGGGCCCAGCAGGGGACTGCCACAATGTCAGCATGGAAGTTTCCTGACATGAAACCTGCAGTGCACAAAGCAGGCAAGAGAGTGCCAGGAGGGAAGGCCGGCCTGCCAGACCCGGGCTCTGGAGCCCCGCAAACTGCATTCACTTCAGCTGAGGTGACAGATCTTGGGGAGAAGGCTAGCAGGTGGCAGTGGGTGCTTGGCATGTGGGAGCCCTGGTTCCCATTCCCTGGCGCCCCTTGCACCACAGGGTCCCTGAGCACCGCCGTGAGGGGTGCGCGGTGCCCTGGGAGTAGTCTCTGAGCACCGCCAGGTTTGACCTCTGCCCCTCACCCCAACAAACAAGGCCAGGTTTTATTCTCCACAACCACCACCCTTCATGGCATTGGCTCCTTCCGGAAGGCAGGGGGGGCGGGGGGGGGGGGTCCAGCAGTTCCCTCTCCTCGGCAGACAGCACAGACACTTGGATAAACCGCCCACCTCCGATTCTTAGGAAGATGCAAATGAAAACGTGGGTGAGTCATGACGTCACACCCGTGAGAACGGCTGCAGGAAGAGTCAGACCAGCCCGGAGTGAGGCGAGGGCGCACCTGGCATGCAGTCAACCCCGGGGTGGGCTGGATCCCTGACACCCATAGGGTGATCTCTGATCACAGAGCCAAGAGTAAGCCCTGAGCACCACCAGCGCGGCCCCCAAACCAAAAACGAGCCTAGAAACAACCAGAGCTAGTGGGTGGGGAGAAAAACGGAACTTCTCGTGCTCCGGGTGGGCTGGAGACCCGTCTCTATTCAGGGGAGATGGTCTGGAGGGTTGTTGGACTACTAGACGCAGAACATGGGCCGGAGCGAGAGTGCAAGGGTGTTTGCCTTGCATACAGCCGACCTGGGTTTGCTCCCTGGCACTGCATATGGTCACTGAGCCTGAGCCTGCCAGGAGCGAGCCCTTCACCGACAGATATGCTCCCCACCCTGTAAACCAATATTGCCACAACAGAAAAGTCTAGAAGCCTCAAACTCACACAAGGAGAATCTTATACAAATTATTTTGCCAATTTGCTCCCTTTATTCATCCCTCCCATCGTTTTCCTCTTTATGCACTTAAGAAAAATCGGGGAGCTGGGTCCAAAGGCAGCAGTGATCTAGGGGACCATACAGTGTTCAGAGGACCACATACTAAGAATGAAACTGGGGCTGGCCACAGACCAGACAAGCGCCTGGTCCCTGTCCTATCTCTCCAGCCCTTATTTCTCCTGCAACACAGGACATGTCCCCACCTACTCAAATAACCTGCAAAGGAAAAAGAAAAAAAAAAACCTTTCATTTTTCTGGACATACTTCAGGTAAAAAACAGCTCTGGGGGGCATGGGAGCGAGGCAGTGGGTCACACCCGGCCTCAGTTTCCCCAACTTTAAAACATGGGCCGCAAAGCCCCGCCTTGCTGAAGGTGCTCAGGGGACACTTATGGAATCATGGTCGTTTTTTGTTTAACAATTTCTGCTGTTCCCAGCATCCTCGGGGTGAAACCCGGGGAGAGCCGCTGCCTGCCGCCGGACTGGACTGGGCGAATGAGGGAATGAACTTCGGGAACGCGGGAGTTAGATCTTGACATCTCGGCTGTAACCTCTGAGAGGAGTGCCTTTGCCGCTCCGCGCCTCAGTTTCCCCGTCTGTCCAACGGGGCTCAGCCTTTACGGCGCCCGGGGAGGTGTGTGCGTGGGGGGTGGGGGTGCATACGTGTGAAATCAATGAATGGGAGGCGCCGAGGACCCCCGTTTCCCCCCCACCCGGGCCTGCCCGCTGCGCTCGGGCGGCCCGGCCCACCCCCCGCCCTCCGCGGGCGCCCACCTTGACGATCTTCTGGACGCTCCACTGCGCGCCGGGGAGGCCCCTGCGCTCTTGCAGCGCGGCTCCCAGTGCGCCCAGGGCGCGGCGCGCGGCGCGCTCGAACGCGGACGGGGGCAGCAGGCAGCTGGCCACCAGCGAGTCCAGCGAGCCCGCGGGGGTGCGGTACACGTCCATGTCCCGCACGGGGCGACAGCGGCCGGCGGCGGCTTCCCCTGAAGGTGTCTGGCCCGGGGAGCAGGGGAGGGCGCGACGCCCCGGGCTGGTCCCGCCCCTGGCCCTCTCCCTTCCCGCCTCTCCTGTCCATCTTTCAGTTTCGTTTCCAGGCTCCCGGGCCCAGGCCGCCACTTCCGGGTCCCTACCTGGGGTGTGGCTGTCACCTTTGGCCGGGCTCACCCTCCCAGGACCCTTTCCCGCATCCTGGCACACTGCCCCTAAAAGCCGCAGGTGCAACCAGGACCGAGGGCCCCACCCCCACCCTTGTAACGGGGTGGGGGGTGGGGGTGGCAGCGGCTTTGGTGGCGGGAGCTGAGATTCAAGTGTCCTTGGGGCTGGAGAGAGAGCACAGCGGGGAGAGCATCTGCCTTGCACAGCAGACCAGGCTTCAATTCCTGGCATCCCTCAGGCTTCCCGCAGAACCGCCAGGAGTAACTGCTGAGTGCAGAGCCAGGGGTAAGCCCTGAGCACTGCCCACTGGGTCACTCAAAACCGAACAAACAAACAAAAACTCCACACCCAAACCTGCAAGTGACCCGGAAGTGTCGGGGTACACCTCGTTGCTGTGGGCTGCAGCGCCCACTCTCAGCCCCTGGATCAGTCCCTGGGTCAGTCTTGCCCAGCGCAGACCTTAGCCCCTATAGTGTCCTGGTTGTGTTCGAACAGAACTAAGGCCGCGGGCTTCTGAGGGTCAGTGGGTGCTGGAGCCCAGCCCTGCTTTCTCCCACGAAACCCCCAACCCCACACTGCCCGCTTGCTTGGTTTCTCCCTGACTCCAAGATGCTCTTGGCACAGGCTGTTCCCACAGCCCTTCCCACCCTGCCTGGGGCTGCGTGCCCCTTCCTGGGGAGTCCCAGGCTGGGACGTCTGCGTGTCTGTCTGCCCTGTCACATGCCCCTGCCTGGCACTCTCTGCCCGCTCTGTGCCTGCAGTTCTGGGACCTTGTCACAGATGCCACAAGAAGCTGGCCTTTATTCAGGGTCAGCGAGGGACCGGAAGTACCTGTGACTTTTGTCCCCTAGGGCCTCACCCCGCCGTGACAGTCACAATCCTGCCTGCCCCAGGCTCTGTGTGTACACGTGTGTGTGTATTTGTGTGTGCATGTATGTCATATCTGTGAGTGCATCTGCAAGTGTGGCTGTGTGTGTGTGTCTGTGTGACTATGTGTATGCACCTGTGTGTGTTTGTGTGTCACAGCTGTGACTCTGTGTGTATGTCACATGTGTGTCTGTGTATGTGACTGTCTCTGTATCATATGTGTATATCTATGTGTGACTGTGTTTGTCATGTGTATCTGTGTGTGTCTGTGTGAGTCATCTTTGTGTGTATCTTGTCTTTGTGTGTGGTGTGTTGGTGTATCTACGTGTAATTGTGTACCTCTGTGTAATCATGTCTGTGTGTGTCTCGGTGTAATTGCATGTCTGCGTTTCTCTGTGTAATTACCTGTGTGCGTGTATCTCTGTGTAATTGTCTGTGTGTGTCTCTGTGTAATTGTGTGTCTGTGTAATTGTTGGTGTGTGAAGTGATGAGTGCAGGCCAGTTCCCCCAGAGGAACTTGTGAGGTTTAAAGGATTCTCACCTGAAGCTAAGCGTGGGGACCCCTTGGCCTACAGTCCTCTGGGGCTGGCCGGGGTGAGGGTAGCACAGGGCGTGGGGTTCTGGGGACGCCCTCCGGGGCTCAGAGGTGGCAGCCACACTGACTCCTGAGCAACTAGCCGGTCACTGGGTCCGCCCCACTCGAGGAGAGGCTGCACAGAATCTTGCCCCTCCACGACCAACGGAATCCACTGAGGGTGGTTTCAGGACAAACTCCCTGCCCCCACCCCCATAATAAAATTCGCAGATGCTCCAGGAGCTTAGAAAGGGGGCTTTGTAGCCCTGACATCCAGCCTGGTGGTTTGAACCCTCGAGTGCTCAGCTCAGAGGCAGAAAGGTGCCCTCTGGGTGGTGGGCATGCAGAGTTCACGCCTGCAGTAGATGGGGGTCAAGGGATCCAACCTGTGAAGCTGGGGGACCCCTGCATGAAACCAGGCTCTGGGCGGCTCCCATAACCCCGACATGTCCTCTCTGTCTGTTCGCAGGGACCTTGCTGAACATGGTCCCGGCTTTAGACACGCAGACGCAGAACCACCCTTGTCGGTCCATGCGACCTCCAGCAGACTGATTTTGTCACCACTGGTCACCACACACCTCTCTCAGTCCCAGCGCACCACCTCCCTTCCCTGCCAGGGATGCTCTCTTGTTCCAGGCCCCCAGTTCCTCCTCGATTTGATGCGTTCTTTGGTTTCGTTTCTTGATCCGCCACAGAAGAAGGAATTGGCAAAACTCATTTCCTGTTTCCCTCCCAGTTTCTCTTTCTTCTCAGTTTCCATTCCCCAGCAGGAAGCTGTCCAGAACGGGGCCTTATCTCTGGGGGTTTATGACTCAGGTGCTTTAATTTTCACATACCGATACCCCACCCCTGAATCCCAGCCACTCCCCACACCAACACCCCTGTGATCTTCAACAACCTGCATTTGTTGGCTCGCTCTGTCTGAGCTCAGCTGGGAGAAAGGCATTTCAAACATGGTTTGCTAAAGACGAACACCCAAGGACAGTAGAGATAAAGGCCAAGAGGATGGCTTCACGGCTTGGAAGCTGGCCTCACATGCTGGGGGAAAAGGCAACTGGGATAGAGAAGGGACCACCCAGTAAAGGATGCTTGGAGGGCTCGCTCAGGATGGGAGATGCGTGCTGAAAGTAGATAAAGGACCAAACATGATGGCCACTTACTACCTGTATTGCAAACCGTAACTCCCAAAGTATAGACAGAATAGGAAAGAATGTACCTGCCACAGAGGTGGGGGTGGGGGTGGGGTGGGGTGGAAGGATATGGGAGGGGTGGCGGGAGGGGTACTGGGAACATCGGTGGGGGAGAATGGGCACTGGTGGAGGGACAGGTACTCAATCATTGTATGACTCAATCATTGTAATCACGAAAGTTTGTAAGTCTGTAAAAAAAATGACAACATTGAAAGTCAGGCAGAATGACTCACCCATGGTCAGATAGATTTGACTTTGATTTTCTAAATCTATCTCTATCTCTCTCTCTCTGTCTCTGTCTGTCTCTCTGTCTCTGTCTCTGTTCTCTCTCTCTCTCCCTCTCTTATCCTGTACTACCTCCTTTTTTGTATCTTCTTTTTGAAAAAACCCTGCTCTTCCCTTAATACCGTACGTATGCTTGACTTCTTTTTTTGTGTGTGCTTTTTGGGTCACACCCGGCGATGCTCAGGGGTTACTCCTGGTTCATGCACTCAGGAATTACTTCTGGCAGTGTTCGGGGGACCATATGGGATGCTGGGAATCGAACCCGGGTCAGCCATGTTGGCTGCATGCAAGGCAAACGCCCTACCCGCTGTGCTATCACTCCATCCCCATGCTTGACTTCTTTAATCTTGTACAGTTCGGCTCTGCAAATAAAGAATCTAACAACTTGGTGGGGAAAAAAATGATTTTCTAGGGACTGGAGAGATAATACAGCGGGGAAGGCAGTTGCCTCCCATGTGGCCACAGGGTTTGATCCCTGGCACCTCATACAGTTCCCTCAGCCCACAGGAAGCCAGGAGTACGTCCTGAGCAAGCCAGTGTGACCCCAAAACAACAACACCAACACCGTCTTTTTTTTTTACTTTTTTTTTTTGGTCACACCCAGTGATGCTCAGGGGTTACTCCTGGCTCTGCACTCAGGAATTACTCCTGGCGGTGCTTGGGGGACCATATGGGATGCCGGGAATCGAACCCATGTGGGCCGCGTGCAAGGCAAACGCCCTACCCGCTGTGCTATCGCTCCAGCCCAAAGCCTTATATGCAAGAAAGATTGCTTCATTATTTCTTGCCATCCTACAAATGGTGAGTTCACTGCCAACATGTAGTAAAATCAGAAAACTCAGGAAAGTACAAAATCACCCACCATGTAATCGTTAACTATATCCACTGCAAACGTATAGGCCTTTCCATTGCACAAGAAAATGAAAGAACACACAAGTACACCAGCAGAGGAATATCTAGGAATCAAATGGTAAAAGATAGGAAAAATCTTTGCCAGGGAAATTCAAAACTTTGTTAGAAAGAAAGACACCGAGTTTATGGATCAGGACCTTCAAGAGTCAGTAGAGTCAGTAAATTTATTCATGTAATTCCCATCAAATCTCTCCCCTTATCTGGGTGGAACTTTACAGATGAGTGATTTTATAAATGTCACTAAAAATTCTAAAGAAATGGGAAGAGCAGTGAAATCTGATTTTTAAAAAATGATGGTAGAGTTTTCTACAAGATATTAAGAACTGATCTAAGGGTCTAACTAATTAAGAAAAAAAGTAGTATTAACTCCAGGGCACAAAAGCTGAGAAAGGAAACAGGACAAAGTCTCGAAATAGACTCCCATGGGACTGGACTCTGGGTGCAGAGCAGCAGATGATGCTGGTCAATCCCGAGAAGTGTCACTCTGGAGCCCCTACCTCACACCGTTCAGACCCATGCACCTTTGCTCATCCTTGCTTTGTAATCTCATTCTCGAATCACTGCTGAATCCAGGCAAGAAGATTTTCCTCCACACATTCCTTCTGGGAGTTTTCAGGTTCAGACTGAAGTCTCTGATCCATTCTAGTTCATCTTTATGAGTGGGCTAAGGTGAGGGCCACTAAGGGCCACTAAGGTGGCTATCTAGTTTCCTTCATACTTTTGTCAGGACGATCTCCTGTCTCTCACTGCGTGTCTTGGCTGCCTGCCTGAAAGTCACTGGACTTTATAGAAAAAGCACAGGAAACAAGCACAAAAATAGAGATATGGGACTGTGTTTAAATAAAAAACTTCTGTATGGCAAACGGAAAGAATGAAAAGCTTCAAAGTAGGAGAAAATGTCCTTTCTAGAGCAGAGATGGGACTCACCTCTGAAACAATGAGCTCTTCCACTCCAGAGCAAAAACAAACAGCCAGAACACTCCAAAACAAAACCAAACACCACCACCAAAACTTCCCAAACAATCCACCTGAAAGGAGGGATGAAATCCAGGACAGACACAACTTCAGGAAGGCGTACGAATGAAAAAATGCTCACTAGGCACCACTAATTGTCAGGGAAACAGAAGCCAAAAAACCCATTTTTGACTATGATTCGACAAGAACGGCTTTCAAGCTGTTAAGCTTGCTATCATCAGAAAAAGAACAAAACCAAAGACAAGCGTTAATAATTAAGGGAAATCAGAACTTTTCCCAATGCTTAAACTGCAACCGCCCTGGAAAGTAGCCAGGGAGTACTTTCAAAAATCCGGGGCTGCCCCGTGACCCCGTGTCTCTGCAATGCAATTCCGTTCATTGATGAATTATCACTATTGATAATTCTGGGACAGCACCAGAAGATGCTGCAGGGGGATTGTCCACGTGGTACGAAGTAATGCAGTCACCACAAATGTTAGCAGCAGTTACTTCTCTCTTTGCTCTCATTTGACTGTGCTCAGGGCCTTGCTCCTGGCTCAGTGCTCAGGGATCATTCCTGGTGTGTGTTGGGTACCATATGGGATGCCGGGGATGGAAGCCAGGTCGACTTGCACATAAGGCAAGTGCCCTCCACACCGTAGCATCTCTCCAGCCCGAGACATTTTAATGATGGAAACACACTAGCCACAGAGGAGGGATCTGGAAGAAGGTGGGAGACCCGAGATCCCCCCAGTTTGAATTTGGCTTGGCCTTCTAGAGAAAGGGCTCAGCAAAACCAGGGATGGGTCGCCGCTGCTCACTTAGCGGGACACCTCAAAACCCAGGCAGGCGAGGGAGAGAGCAGAAGGGGAAAGTTCTTGGATTTGAGTCTCCTCTCTCCAGCCTGGGGCCTCACTTCAGCTCAGCCTGAGGGCCGTGACACAGTCCAATGCATGGGGATATTGGGGATGGCCGGCGGTCCCCCGGGATCTCAATCAGGAGGCCAGATTGGCTCCCCAAAGCGACGAGACAGTTTTTCTCTTCTATTGACTGAGGATGGCAGCTGCGCGGTGCTAAGGGTTCTAACGGGGTTGTGACTGCCGGTTCTTTGCAGGCGCACTGTCCGTGGACACGCAGTGCTCGGACTGTGAGGTTCTCCTGTTGCAATCCTACCGAAAAGTAAGAGGAGCGGTGGGAAGCCAGCTCGGAGGGCTGGAGCACCTGCCTGGCTTGTATGAGATTCCCCAATTTGATTTTCGATTTCATGGCACCCCATCACCCCCCAAAGAAACGTGAGATTCGTTGACTTAACGCAACGGGAAGTGTTTCAAAACTTCCCACTTTCGCATGGGATTAGCGCAGAAGTGTAGGTGAACAGATGACTCTCCTCATACTGTCCCCCTTTTCCTTTGCTGTCGTGATGGGGGTACACACTTGTGTAGTGCTTGCCGGGAGCTGTGCACGCTCATTGTCACACCAGGAATCCCAAACGGTGGCATCTGGGGATTGCGCTCAGCATGGGGGTGATGGTGGGAATGGAACTTAGGGTCCAATGTCTGCAGCGCAGGTGTTTGATGACTGGGCCACTCCGGGGTCCTCCGATGGAGGCTCTGAAAGCCAGATGTCTTAGACTCTTAGAGGACACCACCACTTGGACTGTTGAGTGCCAAATGCTCAATGCACGTGTGATCAGCAGACACCGTGTTAAGGAAGTACCAATATTTTATCTAAATCATCAGGTACAGACCAGGAAGGAGCCAGAGGGTTTGCCTGAGATATTGAAAACCGGAGGGAGCCCAAACTAGCCCACAGCAAAATGTCCCACACAAATCTCAACCCCACAGTTGGGAATTGTCTCCTTTGTTCACTATTGTGTATTTTGGGCCCAAGACAATGCTTGGGCTGTAATAGGTGCTCAATAAAAATGATTTTTCAAGTAATCTATACGCACACAGACATACACACACATAGGCTTGGTAGTTCATAAACACCGCACAAAGGCGGCCAGCTTTATTTTTATTGCTGTTGAAATTGCTTGGCTTGGGCCCCTCCTGCCAGGTATACGGAGACAGTCAAGGCCGGGGGACCATCCTTTTGTCAGAATCTCTGCATGGCCTCTCAGAGCCTAGGCTGGGGAGAGGATGCGGGGAGGGCTCTGTGCTCTGTGAGAAAGGGGCAAGCTGGCATGGAGGGAAGCTAGAGGGCCACTGCCCTCTTGGAATGCCAGAAATGAGAGCCAACCTCCTGCCATCTTTCCAGAAGTGAGGGGATGACATCTTCCAGAGTAAGGGGTGCCATCTTTCCAGAAGGGAGGGGCTGGCTCCTGGACTCACATTGGTAAGAGCACCGGCCTTCAGAGGATGGAGCAGGACCAGCCCTCCTCCACTGGGGGTGGGCATGGTGTGTAGCTCTTCGGGAACCTGGGGTACTCTCTGGGGTACTCTCTGGGAGACTCTCTGGGGTACTCTCTGGGATACCCTCTGGGGTACTCTCTGGGGTAATCTCTGGAGTACTCGCTGCAGTTCAGGATATGTACCTCGGTGTTGTTGGCGTAGAAGCTTCGAGTCTTGACCTTTAACGCAGGCTGAAAGGACAAAGCACAGAAGGCTTCAGAGATGCTGGCTCTGGCTCTCCAGAACATTCGTGGTGGCCGCCGTGACAGTCACCTGGATCCTCCTCCAGGAAGGATGAGGAAGCCCCTTCTGTACCTTTCAGGGCCACATGGGCTGCGGGGCCACGTCCTGTCCTGAACGGACCCCCTGACTGCCAGTGGCCACTCGTCTGTTGGAGGCGGGCTCAGTCCCCACAGCTGGCCTGTCCTGCACCTTGTTTGCTCGGTGGCCACGGGCACCCCCCCTTCCCTAATGTCCCCCGTTTCAGAGTCTGCCTCTGAGGGACATCTGCTGTCCCCCACCCAGAGAAGCTGGACGCTGGGGGCTGCTGTCCGCCGTCCCTCTGGGGCAGAGCCACAGCCATGGGGACAGCTCGTCCACAGTGTGGGCACTGGCCTCAGGGGCCTCGCTGGGAGCCCCAGCTCAGCATGTCTGTAGCTGGGTGTCCTCACACAGGTGCATCCACCTGAGTCCACCTGAGTCCCCCAGACGGGTATTGTGAAGATAAGGACCGTCACAGGGACAGAGCCTGAACCCAGAGCAGAAACCCCAGATCTCCCCAGCCCTGGTGTGGTCAGGCCACGGTGACGAGAAGGCTGAGTCTGGACAGAGGACAGGGCATCCCGGGGCCTCTAAATGGGACTGGGACAAACGGGGGCTCGGTGTGAATACAAACCAAGGCTGTGGGCTCCGGGGCGATTTTTTGCGGGGAGAGCAATACTGGGCTCCGTGGGCCACGCTGTGTGAAGGGGGTGCGGGTGGGGTGCAGGGAAGGATGCAGAGGAAGCGGCAACTCACCGGCACCTCCCAGGGGTACACGAGGGAACCGTCCCAGTTCCTGAAGCACGGGTAACACAACCAGGTCTCAGCCGCGCGTGCCAGGTTCTCCCAGCGGTCATGGGAGGCGCTTCCACCCGCCACGTTGCACGTGGGGTCAGCCGGGTCCAGGATGACGGGCCTGAGGAGCATTGGGAGGGGTAGGCAGCGGATGTGTTTGGGGGTGTGTGTCTTGGTGCCCCAGAGTCCTGCTTGGTGCTCAGTGAGTCTAAGGAGGAGCCTGAACCTTCGCCCTCAGACCTGGGTTCAAATCTCGCCTTTGCCCTTAGACCTGACTGAGCCTCAGTTTCCCCATTTGTGAAGTGGGGGAGATTCCCAGAAGCCTCTCTCAGAGGCTCTAGACAGTACACGTGACTTAGCACCACCACACAGAGCCTCGAAAAGGGGCCACACTGTGCCCCCTGCAAATGATCATAAGGTGAACCGAGGGGTTGACTAGCAGCTCCCCTCCTGTGGCCCTCTCTGTGTTGGGCCTTTTCACGTGTGCTCGGCGCAGGCTGGGATGAGCTGACACATGTGTAAAGGGGGCGGGCTGTGGGTGTGTGAGCGCGTGGGTCCCTGCACTGGGCTGCACGTCTGGCCCCAGGGGACACTCATGGTCCCCCATCTCCCGCAGGGGGCGAGCACCCACCTGGGCTTGCTGAGCTGGTCCTCCAGGTAGTTCCCGATATAAGGGTGTGTAAAGTCGTAATACTTCTCCCAGAAGATGCAGAACTGCTCGTACTTCAGGATCAGTGTCAAAACGGTCCGAAACCCCTGGGCCGTGCTGAAATCCGTGTTCCTGCTCCCTTGCTCCCAGGCATAAACTGTCAGGAGCTCCAGCGCATACTGCGGCGGCAGAGGCTTCTTCAGATCCGAGCGACACTGACAAAGGGCGATCAGAGGTGGGCCTGTTTGGCTTGGGTGCAAAACCCCTTCCCCTGGCCCACCCGGCCCACCCCGTGTCTTTGTAAGCTGACTGTTCTGGGGGGGGGGGGGGGCAGAAGAGGCCCTTTGGTTACAAACGTCTCGTGGTTGCTGGGTTCAGCGTAGACCCCTTGGATTCCTGGAGCCCCGTTTTTCTTAGCTGACTCCGAGGGGCACTAAGAGTATTTATCTCTGAGGACGTGATGGAAATGAACTGAGTGGGAGAGCTTGCAGTGTTTTCTTTATCTAAGAGTCTCCAGAGCAAAGAAATTTCATTTTCTGAAGACATGGAACCCAAAGTCTCACATTATTTCACAAGTAATTTTCATTTCTCTATCTATTTATTTATTGACTTTTTTGGTCACATCCGGTGATGTTCATGGGTTACTCCTGGCTCTGCTCTCGGGGATTACTCCTGGAGGTGCTGTGGGATGCCGGGGATCGAACCTGGGTCAGCCGCGTGTAAGGCAAATGCTCTATCCCATATACTGTCTCTCTGGCCCCACACAAGTAATTCTCAAGGATGTAGGCCAGCACATGATCAGGCACCCAAGAAAAAAAGACATTATAAGTGATGAACAACAGGAAAAAAAAAGAGAGAAAGTAATAAATAAATAATAAATCCACAAGACTTTAAATCCTAAAGGACCAAGTGGAGACTTAAAATTAACTGGAACTATTATGTTCAAGAAATAAACACTTGAAATAAGGCCAGAGAGATGGAACAGGAGGTCAGGCATTGGCCTTGCATGCGGCTGACCCCAGTTCGATCCTTAGCATCACATATGGCCTCTGAGCACTGTGTGATGAGGTAGGCCGTGAGCACCACTGGGTGTTGCCCTCAAAACAATCAACAAAACCAAAGAAAAATTGAACTAGTAGGTAGTCAGAGGCATATGATGACCTGGCAGAATTCAATAAGAATGAAATAGAAATCCTAGAATAAAAAATGGAAGTAGCAGCAATTACTTCCATTTTTGTGATTAGTAACAGCAAATTAGATACAAACTAAAGGAGAAAATAGTGAACTGGAAGATAAATCAGTGAACCAGAAGAGACTATTTAAGATAATCCAAAGGGAAACAACAGTGCAGAGATCTGGATGGTGGAGCGTGAAGGTCTGACAGACACTTCGCTGGACTTCTGGGACAGAAGAGAAAGAGCGAGAGAGTGGCTAAGGATCCCCTCACTGGTGGAAGAGAGAGACCCACCCCAGCGCAGGGATCCCAAGCAAGGGTCTAACCGACGGGGAGACGGGCTGGAGCGATAGCACAGTGGTAGGGCATTTGCCTTGCATTCAGCTGGCCTGACGGAGCCGGGTTCGATTCCTCCGCCCTTCTCGGAGAGCCCGGCAAGCTACCGAGAGTATCTCGCCCGCACGGCAGAGCCTGGCAAGCTCCCCGTGACGTATTCCATATGCCAAACACAGTAACAACAAAGTCTCCAATGGAGACGTTACTGGGCCCGCTCGAGCAAATCGATGAACAACGGGAGGACCGTGAATGTGACCGTTATCAAGACAGACCAGCTGGAACGAAGCACAACCAAGACAAGATCCTCCCTCTCTTGAGCCCTTCCGTCCCCGCTCCTTCCCCCTCCCTTCCCTTCCTCTGCCCTCTCCTTCCTCCTCCCCTTCTCCTCCTCCTCCCATCCCCCACCTTCCCTTCCCCTCTCCTCCCCCTTTCCCTCCCTCCCCAACCTCCTTCCCTCCCCCTCCCCCTCTTCTCTGCCTGCCTCCGCTCCCATTCTTCCTTGCCCCCCTTACCTGCTCCTCCTTCTCCCTCCTCCCCACTCCACTTCCTCCCCTCCTCCCTCCTCCTCCCCCTCCTCCCTTTTTTCCCACCCTGTCCTCCATCTCCTCTTCCCCTCCCCTCCACCCTGGTCCATACCATTTGGAACCAGTACTTCACCAGGCGGATGAGGCTCTTCAGCTTGGTGGGGCGCTCCTTCAGGAAGGCTCTCTGCAGCTCGGTGAAGCAGGGGGAGAACTCATTCTCTTTCCCCAGATTTCGGCACTCTTTGATGAGCATGACGTAGATTTGGGGGTCGGGCCTTTGCCCTTTGGTCCACTGGCCTGCAGGGATGGAGCCGTGACATTAGCTCTCGGCGTCTGGGGCCAGAGAGAAGCTCCAGGGCTGGGCACATGCTTTGCCTTTTACATTTAAGAGCCCCAGTTTGAGCTCCGGCACCTCGGGAGCGGGGGAGCCCGAAACACAGAGCTGGGAACGAACAGTTGCTGTAAGCATGGCAGGAGACGGCCCCAAACAAAACAGAAAAGTTGGCTCTTGTCTCAGATTCCCCCACCCTACCCCACCTCCAGATATTTCCCCTGAGTGGCTCCCCTGTTCTCCCCCAGACACGCCAAGGCACTGCTGTTTCAGGGCCTTTGCACATGCCACTTCCTCTTCTGGGAAGCCCTTAGCTCTCTCATGGGCTGTCTCCTTCCCATCCCCCAGACCCTGCTCACATGTCACATGTCACTCTGTGTGTGTGGGTGGGGGGGCTCCCACATCATGGGGTGCCCCTGTCTGAAAAAGTCTTCCCCGGGGGTCCTTCATCTGGCTTCTGGGCTTTGGTGCCGGTTGACGTGTGGCTGCTCTGATGGCAACTAGCGTTGGGCTGGGGAAGGTGCCTTTCTTGCCCTTTCTGGAACCCAGGGATACTCTGCGCTCACTGAGGCTATGGGTCCAGCCCCTTTCCTGAACATCAGGGCTCCTGACCGGCTGAGGCAAGACCTGATCCTGGTCCCTGTCCTGCTGAGCACTGGTCAGGGGGCAGCTGCGGCCTCATTTCTAGGCCCTATCCTCACTGCCCGCATGGTCTTGCCCCTACAGCTCCCATGCGAAGTCAGACCTTCCGGAGGTTTGGGGGATCAGATGACGAGGCATCCTGGGCCCCACCTGGCCCCATTCTTTTTTTTTTCCTCTTTGGGTCACACCCAGTGATACTCAAGGGGTTACTCCTGGCTCTGCACTCAGGAATTACTCCTGGCTGTGCTTGGGGGATCATATGGGATATTGGGCATTGAACCCGAGTTGGCTGCATGCAAGGCAAATGTTCTACCCGCTGTACTATCGCTCCAGTCCCAGCCTGGCCCCATCCTTTTGTTTTGGGCCACACCTGGCCAGGCCCAGGGATCACTCTGGGCAGGCTCAGAGGACCATATGGAATGCCGGGGATTGAACCCAAATCGGCCACCTGCAAGGCAAGCACCTTACCCGCTATGCTATCACTCAGACGACGCCCTTCACAGCCCCATTTTCAGGAAGACAAGATTCCTGTCACCTTTGCCAGGGGCCTAAGAAATGTCAGATCTGTGCTGACCGAGCCCCCAAGCTCACCCTTGCAGAGACCCCTGGATCTTCCCTGCGCTTTGCGGGGGCCGGGGGGAGGGGTCCCTGTGTGGCTGAGGCCTGCCAGCAGGGGGGTGATCACGGTGGAGCAGTGGTCGGCTCACCCAGGGCATCGTAGGCGGGGAGGATGTCAAACTCCACCGACTCCTCTTGCCAGACCGCCCGTGACCTCAGCTCGAAGCTGAGTGAGCGGGGATTGCTGTGTGGGTTTATCTGGAACGTCACTTCGAAGCTGCGCTCCCTCTGACAGGCTTCCAGCTGTCTCCGGATCTCTCTGATGAACTCCGCGCGGCGGTCATACTGATCCCGAAAACTCCGCAGGTTGTTGAGGAAGACGACGAGGTCGGCATCCGAGCGGCCCCGCAGGGATGTGCCTTTGCCCGAGGAGCCACCCTGAAGTGGAGGAGGGGTGGGGGAAGAGGGGGACGTGAGCCTCAGGGTGGAGAACAGAGAAACTTCCCAAGTCAAAGCCTGGGCACCAGCGTGGATGTGCCCGAGCTCCGGCTCCCGCTGATGGAGCCGTCCCTTACAGCTTCTCAGAAGTGACCGCTCCGCCCTCTGGACAGGGGTGGGGGTCAGGGTGGTGCTAAGGGGAGATCTTGCTGGGGTGCACGAGGAAACGGAACCGGAACATCCAAGGGAAGTCTCTTCATTAGACAGAGTTGGGATTTTGGCCGACCAAAGAACAAAACTGGACTCCGAGCTCACACCAGACACCAAAGTGAATTTAAAATGAGATCAGAAGTCCTAAGACACACGGAGGGAAACTCAGGCGGAACTCTGCCATGGAGTTGAGCCAAGGAAACCAAGGTAAAGATGAATGAATAAGACTACCCGACCAAAGAGTTCCTGTATAACAAAAAAAAAATGTTTCTGCACTAAGAGAGGCTAAAATAAAAACACCCTGTTGAAGGGGAGGAAATATTCATAACTGCACATAGATAAAAGGCCAATTATCCAAACACTCATAAAACTCCAGCAACAAGAATCAAACCTCATCCAAAACAGAAAAGGGCCTAGAATGACAGTACAGCGGGGAGGGCACTTGAACACGGCCCACCCAGATTTGAGACCCAGCACCCTGTATGGTCCCCCGAACACCACCAGGAGTGATCCCTGAGAGCAGAGCCAGGAGTAAGCCCTGAGCACCAGTGTGCATGGTCCAAACACACACACACACACACACACACACACACACACACACACACACACACACACCACAACATCGGGGAGAGAAGCCAAACAGACACTTCCTCAGAGAAGACAGATGGATGGCCAACAGGCAAATGAGAAAGCGTCCCTCTTCCCCTGTCATGAAGGAAACGCAAATAAAAATGACAGCGAGATATCACGCCGATGAGATTGGCACATATCAGAACAGCTGGAAATGAGGTTGAAGGGATGTGGGGGAAAGGGACCCTCATGCATCGCTGGTGTGAAGATGTCTGCTTTAGCCCCTATGGAAAGCAGTATGAAGACTTCTCAAAAACAAGCAAAAACCCAGAAGCTTTGAATGGATCTGGTGGTTCCACATCTACCCCCTGAACACAAACATTAATTCAGAAAGTGATATGCACACCCGTGCTCACTGCTGCTTTAAGTATCAAATAGCCGTGACCTGGAAACAACCCAAGTGCTCAACAACAGACAAGCCAATAAAGAATCCACGGTATGTTTACACAGACGTCTGCGTTCCGCGGTAAGAAAAGGAAAAGCTTGCATTCTGCCAATTAGGTGAATGTGTTGGTGTATATCCCATACTTGATATGCTGAGACATTACGAGTAATACCATTATTACTAAAAATGATACCTCATTAAAGAGAAAGGAAGGAAAGAGGAAGGAAGGAAGGAAGGAAGGAACGAAGGAAGGAAGGAAGGAAGGAAGGAAGGAAAGAAGGCAAGGACAGAACAAAGGAGGGAAGTAGAGAAGGAGGGAAGGAAGGAAGGAGGGGAGAAAGGAAAGAGGAAAGAAAGAGAAGGAAGGAAGGAAAGGAGGGAAGGAAGGAGGGAAGGAGGAAAGGAGAAGCGAGAGTGGCCATTCTAGCCTGGCCACTCCTTAGCAATTATGCAAAAATGACAGGGGCAGGGTTTCATCCCAGAATCAATTTTCACATCAGGAACCACCAGGAACCTCCTCCACGCCCCTCCCCCCACCCATCCTCCCTTCCTTCTCAGTAAGTGGCCCGAAACTGTGCCCCTGGCCCCCACTGGCCCCCACTGGCTGGCAGCCAGGACTCACCTTCACAACCTTGGACACCCGCACGGGCTCCGGGGAGCTCTGGAAGCAGCGCTCCTTCAGGAAACTGCTGATGATGTGGACAGCTCTTTTCACCTGCAGGCGGAAAGGTGTGTCGGGCAGGAGGCGAGTTTCAATGAACTTGTCCAGATCCCGGGCCTGCGTGGTTTTGAGGTCCATGGTCTCGAGGTCTCTGTCGAGGCTGGAACCGGCGAACCAACAGGCTCCCAGAACTGGCCAGCTTTTATCTCTTCCACTGCCCAGTCTGGGCGGGGCTCTCCCCGCTCTTTCCTTCCCTGGTAGGGAGGAGCTCTGATTGCAAGTGTGCTGGCCTGACTGGCAACTTCCTGAAACTGGTGTTGTCCTTTAACCCGACAGCTGAAACTCGGCAGCCTTTCCTTCAGACCCAACCGTGAACCCGTGTTTGTACCTCACAGAGAAGGTGCAATTCAAAGACAGCGTTTTCCGTGTATTCCTTTGTTGCTGTTTTATTTCCTGTCCCCCCCCCTCCCCACCCGAGAATGACGAAATGGCTTTGGTGACTTTCTGTGATCTTTGGAGCCATGCATGAATTTTGCCAAAAAAGCCAGGAAGGTCCAGAAGCTTCCAAGAAGGCCATCCAGATCCTAAAATTCAGACTCTGAACCTACTGGTACCTTGCAAGAGCTTCAGGAGGTTTTTCCAGGTACTTTGGCAAACATACCTTCAAATACAATTCTCTCTCTCTCTCTTTGTTTTTTTTTTTTTCATTAGTGAAACACCATGAGGTACAGTTGTAGACTTACAAATTTTTGTGCTTGGATTTCAATTATACAATGGTCAAATACCCATCCCTCCACTAGTGCCCATTTTCCACCACCACGGGTCCCAACAAAATAGGAGACAAATACAATTCTCTTCTCTGACTTGGGGGTTACGCTTCCTTCCAAAGCGCAGTGTTCAGGAGCTACACTGGCCTGTGTGTGGGCCACTCCCTAAGGCACTGAGTGACCCCAGGACTCAACCTGGGGTCTCAGACATGCAAGGTCAGTGACTTAGCGCGGAGCCACATTCCCGGCTCCTTTCACTCCTTTTGATTTTACTTTATTTTATTATTTTTTTATTTATTTTTTTTTTTGCTTTTTGGGTCACACCTGGTGATGCACAGGGGTTCCTCCTGGCTTTGCACTCAGGAATCACCCCTGGCGGTGCTCAGGGGACCATATGGGATGCTGGGAATCGAACCCAGGTCGGCCGCGTGCAAGGCAAACGCCCTCCCCGCTGTGCTATTGCTCCAGCCCCCTTCACTCCCTTTTAAATGGCTTCTTTCTCTCCTTCACCCGCTTTTTGCTTAGTCTCAGGACTCACACAGTACGTTTGTTACCACAGACAAACATGGATATGCTACGATTATTATTATTATTACTATTTCTAGATTTGAGGCCACACCCAATTGTGCTCAGGGATCACCCCTGGTTGTGCCGGGGACTATCTGTGGTGCCGGGGATTGAATTGGGGTCAGCCATATGCAAGGGAAGTGCCTACCTCCTGTCCTCGCTCTCCAGTCCCGGGTTTCTGACATTGACTCCAGTCCATAGCAGACATTGGAGCTGACGCTTGTTCATTCTATAGACTTGCTGCAGGTGTGACCCAGGCACCATCATGCGGAATTTGTGCAGAATGGAATCAACCCCCACCCCGCCCCAGCCCGCTGATTCTCGAATTCCTCCCTGCCCTGCTGAGACTGCCCCTATGTACTGATATGTGCTACGACTTTCTCCCCGAGCCTTGCTCTCACTGAAACTTAAAATTTTTACGTGGCTGATTCTAGAACTTTTCCTTTAGTGCATCGTGTTTTATTTGGCCAACTTTATTTTTGCTGGTGCGCCACACCCGGTGGTGATCAGGGCTTATCCCTGGCTCTGTGCTCAGCAGCCACTCCTGGCAGTGCTTGGGGCACCATATGGGTATTGGGGCTCGAACCCGGGTTGTTTGTCTGCAAGGCCTGCGCATGAACGCCTGTACTGTTTTTTTTAAGTCCCTTGAGACTTCTTTGGCTTTTGGCCTGTGTCCTCGGAGACTGCCTCCTCCTCTCCTCCTCATTGGTCTGTGTCCTGGGAGCCCGCCTCCTTCTCCCCTCCCATTGGCCTGTGTCCTGGGAGCCCGCCTCCTTCTCCCCTCCCATTGGCCTGTGTCCTGGGAGCCCGCCTCCTTCTCCCCTCCCATTGGCCTGTGTCCTGGGAGCCCGCCTCCTTCTCCCCTCCCATTGGCCTGTGTCCTGGGAGCCCGCCTCCTTCTCCCCTCCCATTGGCCTGTGTCCTGGGAGCCCGCCTCCTTCTCCCCTCCCCATTGGCCTGTGTCGTGGGAGCCCGCCTCCTTCTCCCCTCCCCATTGGCCTGTGTCCTGGGAGCCCGCCTCCTTCTCCCCTCCCCATTGGCCTGTGTCCTGGGAGCCCGCCTCCTTCTCCCCTCCCCATTGGCCTGTGTCCTGGGAGTCGGCCTCTTCTTCCCCTCCCCACTGGAGACTCAATTCTGGTGAGTCTAAAGGTTTGTGACATTAGCTATCATCCACCCCCTTGCTTTGCATCTTTATATTCCACAGAAGCCACCCAGGTGGAAAACACACACACCTGCCATATGGACATGGACCACACCTGCCACGCGGGCTGGGACCATACCTGCTATTTACAAGGAGACCATATCTCCCACACTTGCAGAGGACATATCTCTCATATGGGCAGAGACTACACCTGTCATGCGGGCAGAGACCACATCTGCCACGTGGGTGGGGGCCATGACTGGCACATGTGACAATGTGGGCAGAAAGGAGCGGGTGCTCGTTCAGTCCCCACATTGGAGTGCAGACGTCCCAGTGTGTGTGTGTGTGTGTGTGTGTGTGTGTGTGTGTGTGTGCGCGCGCACGCGTGCGCACAGGTGGAGGAGATCACCCAAGAACCGGAAAGGAAGAAAGCAGGTCCCCAGTCTTCCTGGATATTCCTACTTTATTTGAGGCTACATCAGCACGAAGAAAGTGGGGGTGGAGGGCAGGCTGGCATGCACCAGAGGGTGTGTGTGGGTTCTACGCAGAAGGCGGCTCCGTTGTTGGGGGCGAGCGTGTGCCCAGATGGCCCAGAGCTTGCTGCATGCTGATTCCAGCGCCAGTCCCCGTGCCGGACTCAGGGGACAGCCAGCATGCTTGCTCCAAGGCGCTGAGCACGGGCAGCAGCAGGGACAGGGCCCAGGGGCAGCGGGCAGCCAGGGAAGCCATTGGCCGGCCCAGGGATCTTTCAAGAACAGCGATTCCAGGCGAGAGATCCGGTCCCCAGAAGATGGGGTGGGGGGCGGTGTGAGTGGGATCCGTGTGAGTCGCAGGGCCCGTCTGATGGCCTCTATTGACAAGAGTGGAGGAAGGAGAGTACTCCGCAAGGAAGGGAGATTGAACAGGCACTGAGACCCTAAGCTCGTGGGGGCCTGAGTCTGGCGGGAGGGTCAGCGTTTGCCCCTGTATGTTTCTCCTGTGCTCATGTCCAGAGTTTATTCCCTTGAAGGAAGGAAGCCGGACTGACCGGCCATGGGTTGAGGCCTCTGTTTTTGGGTCTTCAGAGGATCCGCCACTCTCTGATGTTTTGGACCCGCATGGTTCCACCCTCCCAGAGATGGGCCGAAGGGATCCCGGGACACTGCGTGGAGGCTTTGCCATGTAACTAAGAGCGGGGATGGAGGGTGCCCAGGGGCTGGGGGGTCCCGCACCCCGAGTTCTGGACCCTTTGTTCCCTGAGCCCACCAGGGAGGCCAGGGGCATCCACTGACCAATGGCCCTGGTTCACTGGCCCACCAGGAAGTGGTTTCAGAAGGGGGCTCTGGTGGCCGCGGGGGGGCTCATTGCTTGCTCAGAGTTTGCTGGTCAGGCTGGGCAGAGGAGATGCGGAAGGGCACATAAGGACTCACTTATTATTACTATTGTTATTCTATTTTTTGCTTTTTGGGTCACACCCAGCGATGCTCAGGGGTTACTCCTGGCTCTGCACTCAGGAGTCACTCCTGGCGGTGCTCAGGGGACCATATGGGATGGTGGAGACTGAACCCAGGTCAGCACGTGCAAGGCAAACGCCCTCCCCGCTGTACAATCACTCCGGCCCCCAGGACTCACTTTTTGGCCATTTTACCGGGTTACATGGGCGGGAGGTGGGGAAGGGGGCTGCCGGGCAGCAACAGGGGCCTCAATGGCTTTTGGTGACTAAGCAAACAGGTGACATCCTGGGGGAGATGCAGTTCCTCTGGCCCCCGGTGAGCTCCTTGCTGGCTTTGCGGCCCCGAGTCCCGGGGCCTATTTACGTGGCAATCAGGGTGCAGGTTGTGGGGGGCCTTGTGGGTCGGCCGCAGCAGAGGCGACAGGTCGTGCATGTCCGGAGGGTCGAGGACAGCCCCGAAGCAGGATGGTGGCCGCGAGGCTGTTTACAGAATCCCCTCCCACAAGAGCCCCCCCGCCCCCCCCCCGCCCCATGCCTCCTCTCCACTCTGGAGGGGCCGAGGGGCTGAGCCCAGAGCCCCCCGAGGCGGGAGGAGGGTCTGCAGTGCCCGCGGTGGGGCGGCCTCCAAGGGGGGTGGGGGCGGGGGTCAGGGCTGCGGGCGGGTGGGGGCTGGGGCGCGGGTGCCGCCCTAGTCACTGGCCACGTGGTTCTCGTTCTGCAGCTGGTGCCAGCGCTCCACGCGCTTGTCCTTGTTCTTCAGACACTCGTACCAGTGCTTCAGGCGCTCCCCCTTGGCCGAGATGCCCAGCTGGCAGCCCCCTGGGACCAGGCAAGAGGAGGCCATGTGGGTGGGGGGGAGGTCACATCTGTCCCCCGCAGGGCCGCCTCCCCCCCCCCGGGCCCCGTGACTTGGGGGCTCCTCTCTGCTGCTAATGGCAGCACCCTTTGCCACGTTCACTCTCCCCCTCAGTCCTGCCCCTACCCTGGAGCACGCTTCCTCCTCCCCCTGCACCCTTGCCTTGCAGAGACGGAAGTGAGGATGCGCCAAGCCCCCTGCCCCTGCATTTATGTACATTGTGGGGGTCTCCCAAGCTGTGCTCAGGGGACCTGGGGATAACTGAGCTGGCCGCTTCCATGGCCGGGTCCTGCGGTGCTGTGGGTCACCAGGGCTATGCCTGGCAGTGCTGTGGAATGTGTGCAGGCATGTGTATGTACACACGTATGTGTATGCGAGCATGCATGTATACATGTATGTGTGCATATACATGCATGTGTGTGTGTAATGCTGGGGACGGGACCCAGGTTCCTGCAGCTGCTGAGCACTCCTGACCCATCTCCCCCTGCCCCCCGATGAGATCTGTGAGCCAAGCATCCCCCCAATCCTCCCGGCCATGTGCCTGGACTGCGTCCCCAGCCTGGCACCCTCGTGGGGATGGAGGGGATGGCAGCGCTCACCGATGTAGTCGTTGGACTTGCCGATGTCGTAGTCCCAGACGGAGATGTCCAGGGACTTCTTGGCCAGGTCACTATGCTTGATGTCATAGAAGAACTCCTGCAGGAGGCAAAGGAGCCATGAGCAGGGCCAGGGGCCACTGTCCACAGGTCAGCCTCCCACAGAGGCCCTTGCCCTGACTGCACAGGTGGCCAGGAGACCGTGGAGTGGCCAGGATGCCATGTCCTGCTGGGGCTATGGGCCCCCTTCAGGGCGCCCCTGCACCTCGCTGGCAGAGGTCCGTAATCTCTGGATGCCCACCACGCTGTAGCAGGGTGAGCTCCGAAGACAGTTGCTGAGTTGGTGGCGTTTCAAGACGGAGACATTTCCCCAGGTGATCTGGACAGAGCACACACTTGGCTTGCTGGAACCCTGGACTGTGGAGAGGCCACTGGAGGGTGCTGGGAATTGGGGTCCAGGGCCCCCCTACCTACTTTGTATATGTTTTCTGGGCTGACTCTTTTATCCATTACCTGGATGAACGGAATTAAATTAAAACCTGTTGTGATGGGGCTGGAGCCATAGGACAGTGGGGAGGGTGTTTGCCTTACATGCAGCTGAACTGGGTTCGATCCCCAGCATCCCCGAGCACCGCCAGGAGTAATTCCTGAGTGCAGAGCCAGGAGTAACCCCTGAGCATCACCGGGTGTGATCCAAAAAAACCAAAAAAACAAAAACAAAAACTATTGTGGTTTGGGGTGTGTCATGACAAAACTTCCCTTGGGAGAGTGACCTGACTTCTTGTGATGTGTGCTTGCTGGCCCCAGGTGTAAATATTTTACAGTGTCTTTATGTGTGTGTGTGTGTGTGTGTGTGTGTGTGTGTGTGTGTACGGTGGCATCTGAGGTCTGGATTCAAGGCTTTCTCTTTGTTACTGAGTGTACTGGTTGTCTGGGGTTCTTATTTTGTTGCATGTCCAGACTCGTGCAGACAGGACGACAAGAAAGTTCACCCATTCTGCTCAGGATTCATGACTCAGAGCCCCTGGTCAGCAGAAAGTCAAACTTGGGCTCTGAAACCCAGCGGCCAGACACTGCCCTGAGCACTGCCCACCCTGTGCTTTCTCACGTGTGCCCACTGCCTTCAAACAAAGCAGTGCAAGGGCTGGAGAGATGGTACCGTGAGTAGAGCACTTGGCATGCATGCGGCCGTGTCAGATGCGATGCCTGGCACCCCGTGTGGTCCCCTCGTGTGGTCCCCTAAACTCACCATGAGTGTCCTTGAGCCCTGAGCCAGATGTGACCGGAAAACAAAACAAAACAAAACAAAACGTGATGCAAAACACTGTTGTAATTTCCCTTTCCTACGTGGCGACATTTGGCAGAAAGCTGTGTCAGCAAAGAAGAGCTCAACATCACCACATCGTGTCGAGAGAAATTTCCAGACCCCCCAGTACCTGCTGGGGTCCAGGGAAAGACTCTGAAATCCAGAGGCAGGCAGAGGAGGGAGAGGTAGAAGGTGCCGGAAGGGACGGTGGGGGGGAGGCAGAGGGAGCCTGTGGCAGATGCTGTGTGGAAGGTTCAGGATGCTGTACCCAACTCTCTCAACTCAAGATCATGAGCGTCAGAGATAATGCATGTCACAGAGGTGACTGAATCCAGTCAAGTTTGATGGCGCCACCCTGCTGCCCACAGCAAGCCTCATCATAAACTTTCTTCTTTTTTTGGGGGGGGTCACACCTGGTGATGCACAGGGGTTACTCTTGGCTCTACTCAGGAATTACTCCTCGCGGTGCTCAGGGAACCATATGGGATGCTGGGAATCGAACCTGGGTCGGCCGCGTGCAAGGCAAATGCCCTACCTGCTGTCTATCCCTCCAGCCCCCTCACCATAACCTTTCACCTTGATTTGATTCCTTCTGGTGACGGGGAACTCATCACCTCTCCAGAGCTGGTCGCAGAGAGCGAGCTCTCTTTGCTGTGCCTTCCACCAACCTGGGGGCTCTCCCTCCGCCCCCTGTACCCACCTGCTGTGCTGATCCCAGAGCCCGAGGCAAAGGGGCCTTCTGGTCATTTAATGACACTGAAGCCTCAATTCGGGGCTGCAGGTAAGAATTCTCGTGGTGAGAAAGTCTCATTCTACTCAGCCACTTTATGACAGTAACGCCTTCCCACAGAGAAGGCCTGATTCCAGCCCCAGCACCCCACAGGGTCCCTGGAGAACTGCCAGGAGTGATCCCTGAATGCAGAGCCAGGCGTAAGCCCCGAGCACTGCCCACCACGGTGACACGAGCCGAGCCTTACCTCGTTGAATTCAGGGTTCAGTGTCTTCTTCTTGATCTGAGTCTTGTGCTTGGCCTTCTTCCCCATGTCTGGTTTCAGCCAGCTGCAGACATGAAGTGTCCCTGGGCACAGACTCTCTGCAAGCCCCACGACCTTTCTTCGAGATCCTCGATAGGGGTGTTGGGAACCCACCATTCATTACCCCCACACTGCCCTGACTTCTGGGGTGACCCGGTACCAACAGAGAGGAGACGCCCCGCCCTCCTGTGTCCCATGAGGTGAGAGGGTGCAGCGTGGGCCTCCCCTAGTGCCTGGGTTCGCCAAGGCTAAGGTGCCCTTGGGGCCCACTGCGGATGCTCAGGGCCTTACAGTTTGACGAACGGGTCCGAGTAGCCGTTGGCGTCCATGGCGGCCAGGTGCACGCAGCGCACGATGCCCACGATGAGGCCGCCCTGCTGTGTGCTGTACATGAGGGACACCAGGATCTTGCCGCGTTCCTCAATGTCCCCGATGCGCTCCACCTGCTGCGGGGAGAGGACAGGTGGGCTGGGAGGGGTGGCGGGCGGCGCTGGGGGCGGGGAGGGCGCTAGGGCAGTCAGCACCACGGACAGCGGACAGTCCCCCGCAGGGACCAGGTGAGCCCCTCCCTCAGGTCCCAAATCCCCACCAGCTTCTTCCGAAGCGCAGTCCCGGGGAGCTGGCCCGTGGCCCTCAGAGGGCTGCCAGTGGCGAGGTGGCACAGCACTGCAGAGTCCAGGCACCTGGTCCAGCCTTGGCCAGCTCCAGGGCGCCCCCTGCTGTCGGCCCCCAGCTTCCCCAGTCGCGCACTTTGGGGCCACACAAGGGTGAGCAGGTTTGGGGAGTGGGGGTAGGGGGTTCTGGGGCTCACCTCCTCCTCATACAGGGCCATGCCTCGGGCGGACCCGGTGGTGCCCGCGCGCTTCATCTGGGAGGAAGGAAGCAGAGGAAGAGAGTTTCTGTGGGAGTGCCCGGCCCTGGGGACCACCACGCCGGGTGAGGGAGTCTCACACACGGGTCCCCTTCTTCCCTCTTCCCGATGACATGGGGGCCACTCTGAGGAAGGGGGGCCGGAGCCGGTTCCCAGGTGAGGGCCCTGAGGGTCACACAGCCAGGAGGGGGTAGAGGGTCCCTAGCCACCCAGACAGGCTCCATCTGTCCTGTCTGTCCTGCTGAGGGGCGGGGGCTTGGTGGGGGGCAGAGCAGGGGCCTGGTCAAGCCCCCCTCCCCTCTCTTCTCTGCCGGGTTGAAGGGGGGCATGCCGCTTACGGGGATGACCCTCTCCAAGCAGATGTTGAAATTCTTCCTCTGATTGGGCTTCAGTTTCTTGAGCGAGAATCTGGTCTCCCCGATAAACTCGTTATGCCCGAATTTGTCCTCATCACAGACGGAGATCCTGAGTGGGGGGAAGAGACAGGAGCCTCCGAAGGGGCGGCCCTGGCCCCCTGCACCTGCGGGGACGAGCACCAGCACCCAGACGCCCCCCGGTGCATTGCTGAGCCCTGCACGGCGCCACGAATGACTCTCCCATCACAGCCGCCCTCAGCGTCCCCCGGGGAGCGCCACCCCGATGGAGAGGAAGAATGTTCTGGCACTCAGAAGTCCCTCCTGAACACCGCCTTCCGCCAAGAGGACCCATGTCTTCTTGGTCTCTCTGGGCCCTTCGTGAGCCTGGGTCGGCGGGGCCAGCTACACTGGTGTTTGGTACCTGTGTGAGGCACGTTCCCGTCAGGTCGGGAGCCACTGAGCAACGGGCAGGTGGCATCAGGCCATTTTGAGGCTGTGCGTGTGTCACTGAGTGTATTTCCCCATACTTATGGGTTGCGAACTTATGGGTCCCCAGCACCCCATATGGTCCCCTGAGCCCCACCAGGAGGGATCCCTGAGTCCTGAGTGCAGAGCCAGGACTAAGTCCTGAACACTTCTGGGTCTGGCCCCAAAACCAGAGAGAGAGAGAGAGAGAGAGAGAGAGAGAGAGAAGAGAGAGAGAGGGAGAGAGAGGAAGAAGCAGAGAGAGGGAGAGAGAGGGAGAGGTAGAGAAAGAGAAGGGGAGGGAGAGGACAAAAGAGGGAGAGGGAGAGAGAGAGAAAGAGAGAGAGAGAGAGAGACCCGTGGGAGGGGGCTGTGCTCTCTTGTGGCCAAGAACATTCTCCTTGCCAGCCGGAGGTTGTGTCAGACCCCAGTGCCTTCACGTGTGTGGGTGCAGACCAGGCTCTGGGCATAGCAGGGGGGTGCGAGCACAGCTCCTTGTGCGACCCCGGTCACAGCAGCAGGGCCGGGGAGGGGAGAGGAGCCTCGCCCAGCTGTGCTGTCTTTAACATGTCGCCAGAACGACATGCTTCCTGCTCCGTGACGACCAGCACAGGCCAGCGCACCAGAGAGAGGAGATCCGTCCCACGGCTGATGATGCAAGGAACAGACCTTTCCAGAAACACTCAGCTCCACTAAACATCAAAGTGGGGCTGAAGAGACAGGCTGGGCATCTGCCTTACATGTAGCCGACCTGGGTTTGATCCTAGCACCCCACAGGGTCCCTGGACCCCACCCAGAGTGATCTCTGAGCACGAAGCCAGGAGTCAGCCCTGAGGACTTCCAGCTCTTGGCACAGCTCTCCCGAAGTGCACAGATTCCAGGTGGCCAGACACGGGGGCCATAAGGCTGAGCCATGCCCCGTGTCCTCAGGAGCCAGAAAGGGTCCGAGTCTCTGTCTGCCTGGGAACTGCAGCTGTACCTGGTGTGTGTGTGTGTGGGTGGGGGGGTTCCCCGCACATACCTGAGTGTCTTCCTCTGCATGTCCTCGTCCGTGATGCCGTGGTACACCAGAGTCTCATTCCACACCGGGTTCCGCGTGTTCCGCAGGGTCTTTGTCCGGAGCTTGTTGGACTAGAGACAGACAGACAGACGCTGGCTTGGAGCCCGCCCTGCAATCCCAGTTTCCGGCCTGATGTGGGGAGAGGCTGGGAATCCCACCCCCAATCAGAGCACAGTGGCTCCCAAATGAATGTTCTCAGGGTGAGGGGCCCCTCCAGGAAAAGGCAGCAGTCTAGAAAGCCAGACCGGACCCCCAAAACCTGGCCCCTCCCCCAGACCCGGCCCCTCCCCCAGGCCCAGGGCCCGCCCCCAGACCCAGACTCCCTGACCCTCCCCAGACCAGGGACCCCCCTGGGACCTTCCTCCTGACCCAGCCCCCACAGACCTGAAACCCTCCCCCAGACCCAGAACCACCGTAGACACAGACCCTTCCCATGGGTGCTGTGCTGGGGTGTTGGGGTAGGGGCCAGGGGCCGTGGCTGGCACTGGGGAGCCCCTGAAGGTGTCCAAGCCGGAGCAGGCCAGGGCCAGGCTCCCGAGTCTCCCCCCTGAGCCGTTCCCAGGGGTGCTGGTGCAGCGGGTACGGTGCCGTGGGTCGGGGCTCCCCAGGCTGGCGGCAGGCGGCCCCGCCGTCCCATACCTTGCTGGCCCCGGGCAAGAGGTGCAGCTTCACATAGGGGTCGGCCAGGCCGTTGGAATCCATGGGCTTCAGGCCCTGCAGAGGGGGCAGCAGTCAGGACCTCTGCGGGGGGTCCTGGACTTCGTCCCCCCGAGACAGACACATGTGGCCTGCTGGGAGGGGCCACCGCACCTGCTGGCGGTGCGACCCCAGGCAAGTTTCTTAACCTCTCTGAGCCTCCTTTCCTTGCCCACTGATCAGGATGAGCACACCAGCAGCTGCCCGGGCTGGCATGGGGCCTGGCGTGGGGTGCCAGGCTGGGTGGAGGAGTGGGCCCACAGGTGGGGGCTCGGGAGGGAGGTTGGGGTGCCTGCAGGACCCCCCAAGGCCCCACCCGCAGGGCACTGACACCCCGCACGGCCCCATTGGCACTGCGGGAGCACGCTGGCATGAAGTGGGACTTGCTGGCACTGTGTCCCCCCTTAGGACTCTCGCGACCTGGGGGCCCCGGCTCAGCAGTGGCTGTGAGGGTCACCCCAGAGGAGCCCACCCCGCCCTGCGGGGGCAGCGCTCACCCACCTTGGCCTTCAGGATGGTGCAGTTGAGGGAGCTGCTGTCCTGGTCATACAGGAGGCTGAACTCCAGGGCGCCCAGCGTGGCTGCAGAGCGAGGGGACAGAGCTGAGGCTGTTGTAGTAGCACCACCGTCACCCTTGGGCCAAACCGCCTCGTCCCTGGCTGCCCACCCAGAGTGAGCTCCAGGGCTCTGGCTGTCCCCTGCTGGGTCCCCCTGGGGGACATTCACCCAGAGGCTGGAGAAGAGACGAGGCTCGGCCTCTGCTGTTGCCTCTGCCAAAACATGTACCCCCCCAGATCCTCATCCACCCATCATGGCTTGGGTAGCGCCTCCACCAGGAAGCCCTCCCTGGTTGATCCCTCCAAAGCTGCCCCCCTCCCGGTCCTCTGCCACACTGAGTCCCTTCCTGCTGCTCCATCACGATGTCAAGCGGATGTGCTCTTTGGATTGTTTCTTGCCACCAGGGCGTTGTTTCCACTAAAGGAGCAGTCCAGCTTGCGTGTCATCTGCTTGCTTCACTGCCCTGGTTTCTCTGTCTTCTAAAACCGTCAGGGCTGCCCAGGTTTCAGGGCTCCCTGGACACCCGCCAAGTGAAGACTCGCGGGCACAAGGAGCAGTGGGCCGGGAGTGGAGACGGGATCTGTGAGAAACTGTGGGGGCAGCTGCTACCAGAGCCAGCAGGAGCTGGGAGGGCCCAGAGAGCTACGACGGATCAGCAGACGGACACGCGGACGGGTAGAAGGAGCAGGAGACTCGGGAAGGGCAGAGGAGGGAGGCACGGCACCTCGGCACAGCAGAAACTGCCCTGGCTGACCAGGAGGGGTGCACGCCGCCGCCTTACCCTGAGCCTGCAGGACTGTGCCTGGGGGATCACTGCCAGACCCCTCGCACCCTCTCCCCAAGTCTGGACAAGTCTCCGAGATGCCTGGAGCACCCGCCCCCACCCGTGCTCCTGTCCTAGCCAACAGTGATACTCATGGGTTTCATGCTGTAGCACGGCGTCCACGGCCTATGTGCGCCCTCACTGTGGCCGGTTGGGACAGCCCCGTGGGTGTCCACCCACACCCCCAAGCCCACAACACGACCATAGCCCCCACCCCTGCCTCTATCTCTCCTTCCTGCTCCTGGTCACACATGTGGGTGGCATGCGCATTCACATATACACACGTTGTGTGTACACGCGTGTCTGTGTGGGACGCATGGGTGAGGTGGGGGAATCTCAAAGCAGAGGTGCAGATCCGGAGCTTTTAAAAAATCAGCTTATGACACTGGATCATGAACAGCTTTGTAACTGTAGCTCACGGTGACTAAATTATAAATAATTAAATAAATAAAATCCACCTATGTGCAGAGTCACCACAGGCGGCTTCCATGCAACGCCACGCTGCTGGACTCAATGAAGAACCAGTCCCTGAGCGGACGGATGGACGGATGCAAGAGGTAAGAGTCTTATTCTGAGCGCTGGGAGGAGATACACCCGAATCCAGGCTGGCACCATTTCCCTGACCCACGGGACAGCAGGGCAGGTCCCTGAGTTCCCAGGGGAATGTGGAAGTTCAAGGTGGTGGTGGTGTGTTTTTTTTTTTTTTTGCTTTTTGGGTCACACCCGGCGATGCACAGGGGTTACTCCTGGCTCTGCTCTCAGAAATTATTCCTGGCAGTGCTGGGGAGGATGGGCACCATATGGGATGCTGGGAATCGAACCCGGATTGGCTACGTGCAAGGCAAATGCCCTACCCACTGTGCTATTGCTCTAGCCCCAGGGTAGTGTTTTTCTGACACATGCGTGAAGGGGTGGTACCTGGGGGCTTCCCTGGTACTCCCAGACTTGCCACCTACTTGCTTCATCGGAGTCGTAGCTGTTGGCTTCCTCCTCCTCCTCCTCTGGGGGTGGGGGCTGGCGGGCAGGGCTGGCGGTGGCCGCAGGTGCGGGGGGATAGGAGCCCGGAGGGGGTCCCGCTCGGTCCTCCCTGATGCCAGCCACTGAGTAGCCCCCGGCTGCCCCGACCCGCTCCTCCCTGGCCGGGGCCATGACCCCTGTGTGGCTGGGGTCGCTGGGAGCTGCTTCTGCAGGGGAGACAGGGGTCAGGGGATCATCCCAGTGTGGTGGTGGGGGGAGTGCTGAGAGGTGATGGCTGCCATGGGCAGGGGTGGGGCATGTGCCCGCCAGCCTCCCAGCTCTGCAGGAACAGCCCTGCCAGGTCCTGGGGGCCCGCGGGTCACTCCCAGTTTCTCAGAGCTATCAGGGTTGCAGGGGAAGGGAGGGGGGACTTGCAAAAATGCAGGTTCTATGACTCCCTCCCTGCAAAGGGTTGGGGGCAGGGGAGGGCTTAGAATCTGTTTGACACCGAGTCCCATGAGCTAATTCAGGCACAGACCGCACAGCCAGGGTCTGTGGGCCCCTCTCAATGTCAGGTGGGAATTATGACCCTCCAGGCACCCGAACAGCAGAGGCTGGTCCCTGGAAACAATCCCCCCCTGGCAGAGCTGGTGTTAGGAAGACCAGAGGTGACAACTGGCTATCCTGTGCCCGTTGGAACAACCCCTGGCACAAAGCCGAATCCAGGTGGCATGTGAGGTCCCACGGGTTCCGTGTGCCCCCACCCCTGGTGGCTCTGTGACGAGTGCTGGTCTTCGGGTGGGCGCCTGAGGCGGGCCGTGCAGCCTGGTACTGGGGCACTGAGGGGCGGGGCCAGGGCTCCTGAAACCTTGGCGTTCAGCTGTGGGGACATGGCTGGCTCTGAGCTCTGTCCCTCTGCGGGCGCCACTGGCCACCTGCCACTTGAAGCCCAGGTCTGGGGGGTTGGGGAAGGGGCAGAGACATGCCTGCTCTCTGGTCCGGAAAGCGTCCTGTGGGTGCGGGGCTGGGTCTGCTGCCTCCAGGGGGGCCTGCGAGGGGACAGAGAGGGGAGGCAGGGAACGGAGCCCTTGAGTGTTTGCTTCATTGGTGCAGACAGCCCAGGGTCACGCAGGCAGATGTGTCCTGGCTGTAGGAAGGGGCCTCTGGCTTCTTCTCTGAGCCGCAGCTCTGCTCTGGGCCATGCAGACGGGAGCCCGGCCTCCCACCAAGCTGGCGGTACATGGGGCATGGACTGATGGGCAGGGAACAACAGGACTCCTCCTAAGTGCACCCTGTCCTGCCTCCCCATCTGGCTGGGCTGCCGGAAGATCCTCCCTGGAAGGGCTTCAAAGGCTCAGGAGACAGTGACGGCTGCAGAATGCCCGTTGGGCTGCGGGCAAGGAGGGGATGCTGCAGGGTATGACCATGTGTCAGGTTGGCAGTGGGCAGGGATTAGGGGTACCTGGCTGCCCGGGCTGGGCAGGTGCTGGGCTCTGCATAGTCGAGGCGGGGGCAACTCTGGCAGCCTGGACTGAGTTGGCGCGTCGCAAACCTGCAGGGGAAAGGAAGGAGACAGCCCGTGTGTTTACACACATGTATCACTCGAGTGGTCCCAGTAACGTCTCCATTGGAGACTTTGTTGTGACTGTGTTTGGCATATTGAATACATCACGGGTAGCTTGCCAGGCTCTGCTGTGCGGGCGAAATACTCTCGGTAGCTTGCCGGGCTCTCCGAGAGGGGTGGAGGAATCAAACTCGGGTTGGCCATGTTGGCTGCATGCAAGGCAAACGCCCTACCTCTGTGCTATCGCTCCAGCCCACACACATGTATAAACACATGTAAATATATTCACACGTGCATACACATACACACATGAACACACATACACACATATTCGTGTGCATGTGAGTGAACATTGAGTTAATTCTTCTCATCTGCCATGGGCTTTACCTCTAAGAGTTGATGTAACCTTTATATTCCACAAGGTGGGGGCTCTATTACCCCCATTTCACAAATGGAGAAACTGAGGCACACACGGGTTAAGGTGCTCCTTTAAGGCCTTTCGGCTGGTTAGTGGCAGTCAGGTATTTCTTCTCTGGACTGTCCCCATTCCTCCCACTGAGCTCTCCGGGACAGAATAGAACAAGGAACTCAGGAATTCCCAGCACTGGGGAGGCCCCACATTCCTGAAAGAAAGTCCCCCTCTTCACATATCACCGGTCTGGGTCACACTTTTTCTGAATAAGGATCTTATTTTTTTTTTTTTTTGCTTTTTGGGTCACACCCGGAAATGCTCAGGGGTTACTCCTGGCTTTGCACTCAAGAATAACTCCTGGTGGTGCTCGGAGGACCATATGGGATGCTGGGAATTGAACCTGGGTTGGCTACGTGCAAGGCAAACGCCCTACCTGCTGTGCTATTGCTCCAGCCCCTAAGGATCTTTTTTCACTGGAGGGACACATGAGTGCAGATGAGGAATTAATATCCAGGATGGTGAAAGGAAGGAAAGGATAGGCTAGGAGGTTCTGGGGATGACCTGGGGGCGCTCCTGTATAGGACAGGGCTGGAGGAGTGGAGTTTCACGGGCTCAAAGTTTCATCTGGAGATGACCTGGGGTCAGTGGACAGTGATGGGATATTTGCAATGTGAAATATTTGTCCACGGAAAAACGGGGAAAGCGGTGAACCCGGCTGTGTGTATTTGGCCGTGATCTGCAGACGCCTTTAACAGAGCTTCCCTGCAGAGCGAGCCAGCGCGGTCTTCACTTCTCTCCATCTCACCCAAACTTGAGCCAAGAAGAGACGGGCTCAGGCCCTCAGCCATGAGCCCGTATGGGGCAGGGGTGGTGGGGCCGGCAGGGGTGACCGACCTCCCTTCACCTTCCTAAACCCGTCCCCCTGGGATCCCCAAACAGGTAGCCACATAGGCCCCCAGCTGGACGACTTCCCTTTCCAAGCTCAGGGGTTGGGCCTCCTCCCAGGGCACCCTGACCTGGGGCATGGGATGGCTGCTGGCCTCACTGGACAGCACAGGTGACAGTCAGGGCTGGGGGGAGAGTGGTCAGAGGAGACCTCCCTCTGTCAGTGTGAGAACCTGGTCTGACAGAAATGCTGCTGCCAGGTCACCCTTGTGGCAAAACCCTGCCCCGTGGAGGTCTCACCTGCAGGACCCCGGCCAGTGTCCCCGGCTGCACCTTGGTCCCAGCCATCTGCGTCCCGGCTGGCGACGCTCATTCGTGCCTCTGAGGCCCTGCGGACAGGCGGCCCGTGGCTTCCTCGCCCAGGAGCAGCGGCTGGCTCAGGGCCTGGAAGGAAAAGTGGGGATTGGATGGGGGAACTAAAGCAGGGGTAGGGGGGAGTTCACAGAAGCCCCTTGCCCTCCTGGCCTCAGTGTCCCCTGTACAGGGCGGGAGGGATGACGTGCTTTGTGGGATTGCAGAGCTGTTACATATGGAGCTCATGGAGGGCTTTTCCTTGCCAACTCACAGAGAACTTTTGATTTAAACTTGTCAGTGCCCTCCGCCTCCCCTTGGCTCTGGCTCTTGTGTGTCATTCCCCAGACTTCCTCTGGCTTGCACACACACATGATCACACATGGGCTAGGGGTCTTGTTCTAGTAGATGTGCTTTCATTGTGGAGGCTTTATTTTATTTTTACAGTGTGGCAGTCCCCCTTTTATCATCACTTTATTAACATAAGACTTGCACAACAGTCATAATAGTCAGAGGAGCAGTGATTCTCTTCAATTTCCTTTCGATCCATCCCACTTTCAGATTTGCCGAAGCTTTATAGAGGAACTACTCAGAGCCCTGAGTAGGAAGACCTACTCAGCAGAACCCATCCACCCATCCCCACTCAAGCTCCAGTGTACTTTAGGTAGTGGGAGTCTCACAATTTCTAAGTTTAGTCTCCACTTCTGTTGTACCTCAAAATAACCCATCAGGAATGATGACTACTTAGCCTTTTGGCAGCCTGGTTTTGCTGTAAAGTTCCCCGGGATGCCTTCCTGATGTGGATTCATGGTGAGATATAAGGGGAAATAGAGAAATCCTAGATCTGATCCCAGAGACTGTGTAGAAATAGGCTGATGGCAAGACACCTGTCAGGTAGACCAGTTGGCTGAGATCTGGCCATGGTCCTAGGTAGACCAGTTGACTGGGATCTGGCCTTGGTCCTGAAAGAAGGTGCTACTTTTCCTTACCTTGAACTGGAGCTGGGGCAATGTGCTTGGGCTCAGGGGTGGGCTGCTCGAGGGCAGCAGGCTCATGGACAGGCTGCTGGGGCTTAGTCTTCTTTATAGGCATTGGCTGGGGAAGGACTTGCTTGGGGAAGCCCTTGAAGAACCACGCTCCAGAACGCTTCCACACCTGGGGGAGGAGACGTGGAAGATGAGGACATGGCAGGGAGCACCCTGGCACCCGCCTTCACAGGTGCTACGTTTTCCCTCACCTGGTGTCCCAGAGCCTGGCAGAGCTGGGCATATACTCCCTGGCCTCATCCCATTGATACAAGAGCCAGCATGCTTTTCCTATATGAGTCACATAACACTGCATGAAAATCAATTGAGAGGCCCCTGGGAAACCCAGTGTGTTGATAGGGAAAGTTGGGAATAGTAGGGCTGCGGATGGTGCCACAGAGTGGGAGGGCAAAGACTGGAGTCCAAGGCCCCGTCCCCTTGCTTCCTGCTGCAACCAAGACAAGTCACAGAAGCGAAAAAGAGAAGGAAGCTCTTTTACATGCTCAGGGACTGTCCCATCAGTGTTCACTCCTGATCTGGTTCCCTCCAAACAATCCCCTCAAAACACAGACCAGACCAGTTTCCACTGCTACCTTGGTTCCAGAGAGAAAGGGGACAGGACGGAGAAGGGGAGCCTCATGGGACCCCCTCAGGCACTCACCTCCCTCTGCTCGATGCAGATTTTGCAGAGCCACACGGGATGCGGGCGGTTGTTGGAGGTCTCCACGCCACACCGGGTGCAGATGTTCTGGGGACAAAACAGTCTACTGCATGCCCGGCTCTGCCAGGCTCTGGGATGCCCGTGTGAGGGAAGAGGCAGGGCAGGGATGCGACTCTCTCTGGGTGGAGCGACAGAGCTAAGATTCCCCTTTCTTCCCCCCTCTTCCACAACCAAGGCCAGTTACATTAATGCTCCAATTTGCGTCTTAACTTCCAAGGGCCAGGGTCGAGTTGCCCTCTGAGCAAGGGGAATGCAAGAACTTGTCCAGGGCCTTGTGCAGACACCCACATGGGCTCCGTAGAGGAAAGGAAAGTGATTCATCTCCCTTTTTAATTTCTTTCTCTTTGGGTCCTAAATGGATCTGAGACCAGCCAGACGACAGCCGCAGCTTCTGGGCCTCCGGTGGAGGGAAGTTAGTTGAGGAAACGCCGAGACTGGATGCTGGAGCATTAATCTGGCTGAGTTCCTTAAAAGCTGAGACAGCCAGGAAAACCGAGCAGGTCATAACATCTACTATTTGATTGCAGCCATTACGCCCCACTTGAGCAATGACCACATAAGATGCCTGGCGGGTCTGACTTGGTGCTGAAGGTCAGGAGTAAAGGGCAGTCCCACCCCCATTGGACAACACTCCCCCCATCCGCCCACTCCTTAGCCTGATGCAGGACTCCACAAGCCACATTCAGGACCACTGGGATCCCCGCCCCCATCCCCCGCCGCCAGTTCCCGAGGTCCTTCCTGTCAGAGCTAAGCTCCATAGTGATTGAGAGGGGGTCCGAGGGACTTCTGGGACAAACAGGGAGCAGTGACATGGACAGAGCTGAACAGAGGAGCAGCATAAATCACGTTCTGCCAATTACCCTTCTGGGTGCCTGAGCAGCAGGTGGCGGGGTGGGGGGAACGTACCTTCTTACAGTCCTCACACACGACGCGGGCTGAGCCTAGTGCCCCCAGCTGCTCCCCACATAGGATACAGCGGCTCACCCCGTCCCCCGCCACGTTCTTCCTCATGTTCTCCAGACGGTCCACCAGGCGCCTGGATACAGAGACAAGACTCAGAAGAGTCCCTGAGACAGGCCCCCTCCCAGAGTCTCCGTCTCTAGCTGACGGCCTTAATCTTTGACCCGGGTCCTCTTGTGAAGCTTCTGGAGCAGGCGGCCACAGTCCCCTCCCCAAATAAAGACTGGAGTTCAGAAACACTGCCAGAGCCCCCTGGATTATGGAGCCCACACCACACCCTCTGTCTGGCTGAGACCTCTCCAGCTCATGCCACTTAGTCCAGGAAGCTTTCCTGAGCTGCAAGGCCTGTTTCTGTCTGCAGGCTCCCTCCAGCTGGATGACCCTAGAGCAGCCCTCAGGGGCACCTTCTCCACCAAACTCTCTGCCGAGGTTGCTTTATGCCCCCTTATGCACGTATTTGCTCCATGCTCACGAAACGGTGCTCTCATCCCCAGACTTGCTCAAACCAGAAAATGGTGGGGTGAGAGCATCTTCCTTAACCCCCTGCTCATCAGCGACCCATCGGACCCAACAGTGCCAGCACTCTCCGTCTTCACACTGCCAGGCACCAGCACCCCCTTTTCGGCTGGCCCCTCTGCTGACCTGGGACAGCATCTCCTGCACCCCCACTGCCAAAGTGGGGTATGAAATACTGATGGGACACTCTCGTCCATGCCACTGGCAAGCCTCTGGCCTCGCTCACCTGGGCCCGGCTTTCACTGCCCTCAGCAAGACACACCAGTTCACCAGGACGCTGGTCAGAAATGAAAAATTCCACCACTTTCCAAACAACAGAATCCAATCTGGGAGGAGACTGGTTTAAGAGTCCCCCAGGGGTGTCTGCTGCTCTTCATGGATTCCCCTTCTCTGCCAGCACTGGTTCCTCATGGAACCCCAGTTCCCACCAGCCTCAGGAATTTGCACACTCTGTTCCTTGTGCCTGAAATACAGCTTGGACATCGCCACCCTCCATCACACACACACACACACACACACACACACTCACACACACTCATATACAGGCACACAGATACACACAGACACACACAGACGCACACTCGCAAACACACACACTCACATACACAGAGACACACACAAAGACACACACAGACACACAGATACACACTCTATTCTCGTCTAGGTTCCTCTTGCCTTCCAATGCTGTCTGGAAGCCCCTTCCGCCCACAGGTCTGTTGTTTTCTCATCTCCCTAGAGGGAGCCTGGCCCCGCAAGCACTTCTCGTATTTGTCAGGAAGCGGGAGGTGAACTCTGCTGGGACACTGGTTCCCTGGGAGACCATCCCTGGCCTCTCTGGACCATGAGCCCCTGTTGTGCAGAGCACTGCATATCCAAATCGCTGCTGCATCTCTGGCGGGCGCCCTGGAAGGCAGGATCCGCAAGTGCATGAATGATGGAGCAGCTGCTCCTGGAGCTTGTGCTCCGCCTAGTTCAGGCAGTGCCAGAGCCCCGTGAGCTGACTGGGATTCCAACAGGTGGCACCCGTGCGCTTACTCGATGCCTGGTGGGGTACGGAGAGCTCTGACTCCCCGCTCTGGAGGCAAGACCTTCCCCCACGCTGGTTCCCAGAGGCCCGGGGAGTTCCTGGCTTCACAGCCAGGCAAAGCCGAGAGCCAGTGCTTGCAAGCATCCCACTGGCGTCTCAGAATGAATCCGGCCCATAGTGCTGGTGAGCACGCAGATTCAGAAACACCAGGTCCATGGGGGCTGGAGCAATAGCACAGCGGGTAGGGCGTTTGCCTTGCATGTGGCCATCGCAGGTTTGATTCCCAGCATCCCATACGGTCCCCCAAACACTGCCAGGAGTGATTCCTGAGTGCATGAGCCAGGAATAACCCCTGTGCAATGCTGGGTGTGACCCAAAAAGCAAAAAAAAAAAAAAAAACACAAAAATAAAACAGAAAAAAACAACCAACAAAAAACCCTAACAAAACAAAACACCAGGTCTGGGTGCAAGCCAGCAGCTGTTTCCAGAAGCTCCCACGCGATCCCATGCGACTCTCATATCCAGCCCCAGTGAACTGGCAGGGGGTCCTGTGTCCATCCCCAGTGGGCCCGTCTGGGGCCGGAGTCTTCCTGACAGCGGGCCCAGAAGTGCTGCATCCTGGTTCCAGAACCAACAGTGCTGTGCCGCAGGCCACCTGCTGCCTCGCGAACACTGCATGCTGTTGTTATAAATAGCAGCTTCTCCCTTGGGCCGGCACTGGAGGCAGAGCCGCCGCGACTGTGGCCAGCCAAGGCCCCAGATGGCTGGTTGGCGCCTCCCTGGGCGCCCGACTGACAATCCTGCTGAGGAGGTGATGCACACAGCCCGCCACGGGCTCCCTGGAAACTGCAGATGGTGGGTGGAGCACAGAAGCAGGAGCGAGCTCCAGGCGCAGCTCCAACACCCGAACTAGCCTGACGCCCAACACCAGGCTCAGTTGCAGTGATGCATTTCATTTCTGGGGGGAAAGGCCATGCTCAGGGGCTCTTGGCTCTGCACTCAGGTATCACTTCCAGCGGTGTTCAGGGCACCATATTGGGTGCCAGGGATTGAACCCGGGTCAGCCACGTGCAAGGCAGCACCTTACCTGTTGTCTATCACTCCACTAGGGGCCATTCCTGTCCCTGTTTTCCATATGAGGAAACTGAGGCACAGAAGAGGAATGATTCTCCCCACCCTCGGGCACAAGGCTCAGATGGGGTCCCAGTACCCATCTCTGGAGTCCCTGTTTTTCTTGACTGTTGTGGGGACTACAAGTGCCACGGAACCTTCTATAGTAGCCATGTCCCCTCCTCCCCTCGTCCCCTGGGCCAAGGGCAAGTCCCATGCTGCCATTTGTCCCCGTCACTCCACCGGGACTTGTCCTGCATCTCCTCTGCTTCCCCTAAGGGCCAACCACACGGATGGACACACTGGGGTCCAGCCCTGGATTCAGCCTCTCAGTAGCGGGTGGACGTGACCCCACAGAGCACCCCGTCCTTCTCCCGTCCCCACTGCTTGGGCTGGACAGGGGAGTACTTAGTCCCAGAGCATGGAGAGGGGGAGAGGTTTGCCTGGGGATGCGCACTCAGGCCTAGGGTCCAGTTCTCTGCTTGGGTGAGAATCTCTGTGGCCCCCCAATCCCATGCTCCCCTGAGATCGCCCGGCCGGGCGAGGCTGACGTTAGAGGCCCATGGGCTTTGCTGGGAAAATTCTGGGGCTTCCCTACTGCTCCTGGGGAGACGGGATCCTTGCAAAACCACACTGTGACCTGTCTCCCCAAGTGCCTGCTCCTTCCTCCACGCACCCCCAAGCACCCAGACACCCTTTAACACGTGTTGAACGAGGCGGCCCATTAGCCTCGGACAGCAGCGGCAAAAGACACAGTGGCCGAGGTAAGGCATCACTCCGAGAGGCTGGGGTGTGAGGCCTCCCGCAGGCCGCCCTACGAGGATGCCCTCTGAGGGGAGGGACCCCTGCTAGGGGCCATGTGTCAGGAGGCGCTGAGCAAAGAAAAAAAGCTCCTCAGGAAGATAAGCCTAAACAAGGATGGGAGTTATGAGCCACCCAGCCCAGCCCCGGGAATAATGTCGGCCGTCCCCAGAACTGGCAGGGGTCCTCAGTGTCCCCATGAAGATGCCTTCTGCTCTCCCTGCACCCTGTCACCCAGCAGGCATTGAGAGAATCAGGAACAGCTCAGGGGGCCTTGACTTCCTCGGCTATGGGTCTGCGGTAGGGGACAGCTCTCCTACTGGGGTACTGCGTGGGGATGGCCCCCCAAATGCACCATGCACCCGAGACCCCTCCCCAGGGCCAGGTCTGGACTTGCGCAGTTGCAGCTGCGGATGTCAGAGGCGGCCGGCCCGGGCCTGCAGGGGTGGGGCGGGGTGGTGAGCTTCCCTGCCGTAGGGGTTCAGCCAAGCAACATGCGTCCCCCGCCTGCTCCCCGCAACTGCAGGACAGATAAATGGTGGCGCCAAATGTATAATGATGGAGGGCAAACTGCCAACTCTGGAGCCGGCTGTGGGGTCTGTACTTGCACTTTGCTGCTTCCCAGCTCTGCAACCCCAAGAAGGTAACAGCACCTTTCTGAGCCTCTTTAAAACAAGAAAAAGAAAATGTGGGCAAGCAGAGTCCTCAGAATTGCTGCAAAAACAACTGCGCGCTGGTGGGGGTGGGGTGGGGTGGGGTGGGGGGAATGTCCGCATTAAGTTGATCAAACTTGGTAAGACTGAAGCTGGGTGCGGCGCCATCTGCCGGGAAGGGGGCCGCTGCCCTTTTGGGGGCTGCCCTGTGGGTTCTTGAAGGATCCTGTCCTGAGATGACTGAGCGGTTCTGCCAGAGGCCGGCAGCTGACATGTGGCCGCGGGCGGCTCAGACTCATTAATTCTCGCTGCTGTCAACGCCTGCCTGGTACCCCCTGAGGAGTCTCGGGCCCCATCTCTCTCCGTGATGAATGGCTGCCTGGGCTCCTGGCTAGGGCTTGGGGCTGGTGGGAAGAGGTGACGGCAAGGGAAAGGCAGCTGGGAGCCCAGCTGGGCCTACACGGGCCGTGTGGGACAAGGTGCCGGGTCCTCATAAGCCAGGGACGGTCCCTGTCTGGGCAGAGCAGAGCAGGAGGGGTTGGCTCCGCTGCTCGTCCCATTTTGCAGATGGGGAAAGCAAGGCATACAGATGTAAGTCACGGACACAAGGGCGAGCCCCTGTCAGGAGTGGTGAAAGCAAGATGAGTTGGGAGTCAACACAGAGCTGTCCAAATCCCACGCTCTGCTCTAGAAGAAGCGAGTCCTGGGGTCGCTGTAGCACGTGTGCACAGGGCTCTTCCTAGCCCGCCACCTGCCCTGGATGTTACAAAGCACTGATTTAACTGAGGAACTACTTAGCAGTCTTTAGAGTCCTCCCCCACAAACCCTGATGAAATCTAATCATAGTTTCTTTCTTAAAAAAATAAAATGCAGCCGGGGCTGGCGTGATAGTACAGCAGAGAGGGTGTTTGCCTTGCACACAGCTGAGCCAGGTTGGACCCCTTGGCATCTCCCCTGGTCCCGGAGTGCGACATGAGTGACCCCTGAGCGAAACCGGGTGTGGGCCCAAACGAGCAAAATCCATAAAGACACAGGCATGTGTCTAAAGAATCAGGATCCCCCCTCCCAAAAAACCCAGCTAGAGACTCTAGGATTCCGGGTCAAGGGAGGGAGGGTGGTCATCCTTCAGCGAGTCGCCAGGGTGACCTGGCCGACTGTCCTCTTGTCACACCGGCCGCGGGACGCTCACCTGATGGCTGGAGCCAGTGCCAGGCCTCACTGCCCACCTCTCTCCCTCTGCCTGCACCCTGGGGCAAGTCGGGGCCCAAGAGATAAGTGACAGAGGGACCGAGTCGGAGCAGGGCCTGGACTTGCCAGACCCCACCGGCGACAGGCCCCCAGGAGTCTGTCTGGCTTCCCCGCCCGTCCCAGCGTCTGGGCCCGGAGGTTAATGACAGCCCCTAATTACTTTGGGGGCGCATCTGTTGAGGGAAGCGGGCCTCCAAGGCAGGCCGGGCAGGTTCGTGCCGGGAGGACGCGAGACAGGCCGCGGAGGGGCCGTCGGCGGGGAGCAATGCCCCGCGAGGTCTTCCTCGGGCCCAGCTGGCTCCGCCACGTCCACCCGACGCCCAGACGCCTTTCCTCATCTCGGGAGACGCAGGTCTGCAGCGGCGACTCCGCCGTCCCCAGCTGACCCCGGTGGCGCACCCTGGCCACCCCCAGCACCGCCGAGCGCGGGCAGCACCACGTCGCCGGGCTAAGCACTGCACCATCTGGCCAGCTGGCGGGCCACCGCCGCGAGTGGGCCCTCTCAGGAGTCCCCCGGGCACGCCGCCCAAGACCCATCTGTGGGGTCCCTGCTGCGTCTCTCTCCGCGCCCCGACGCCGACCACCTCATCGGCAACTCCAGCTCCGCACACACCCGCTTCCGGGGACCCCTCTCGGCCTCTCCCCACCCCGAGGCCCCGGAGCCCTCGTGGAGGCACCGCCCACCCATCCACCCCAACTTGAAGCCCCCACCCCCACCAGGGTGGGCCCCTCCTCTCCTCTCCTCTCCTCTCTCTCTTCTTGCCCCCTGGGAGCCCATTCCTCTTCAGCTGGCTGACTGATGGGACTGACACGTGCTGCCCACGGACTCCCAAGCTGACGCGCAGCCCCGCCCCCTCAGCGCAGCTCCGCCCCCTCAGCGCAGCTCCGCCCTCGACGACGCCCTCCTCCCCCGCGCAGCTCCGCCCCCTCAGTCCAGCTCCGCCCCCTCAGCGCAGCTCCGCCCCCTCAGCGCAGCTCCGCCCCCGACGACGCCCTCCTCCCCCGCGCAGCTCCGCCCCCTCAGCGCAGCTCCGCCCCCGACGACGCCCTCCTCCCCCGCGCAGCTCCTCCCCCTCAGCCCAGCTCCGCCCCCGACGACGCCCTCCTCCCCCGCGCAGCTCCGCCCCCTCAGCGCAGCTCCGCCCCCTCAACCCAGCTCCGCCCCCTCAGCCCAGCCCCGCCCCCTCGGCCCAGCTCCGCCCCCGACGGCACCCTCCTCCCCCGCGCAGCTCCGCCCCCTCAGCCCAGCCCCGCCCCCTCAGCCCAGCTCCGCCCCCGACGGCGCCCTCCTCCCCCGCGCAGCTCCGCCCCCTCAGCACCTACTTCTTCTGGTGCCCGCCTCACACGTGCGGCCTCGGTCCCCCAGCGCCCGCTGCCCCGACGGCGCCCACCACACCCTGTGCGCAGCTCCGCCCCCTCAGCCCAGCTCCGCCCCCTCAGCCCAGCTCCGCCCCCGACGACGCCCTCCTCCCCCGCGCAGCTCCGCCCCCTCAGCGCAGCTCCGCCCCCTCAGCACCTACTTCTTCTGGTGCCCGCCTCACACGTGCGGCCTCGGTCCCCCAGCGCCCGCTGCCCCGACGGCGCCCACCACACCCTGCGCGCAGCCCCGCCCCCTCAGCGCGCCTCGCCCTCGCAGCCTCTGCCTCGACGGCGCCCGCCTCCCCCGCGCAGCTCCGCCCCTCGCACCCATCCGTCTGGGGCCCGCGGCCTCCGTCCCCCCGGCGCGCCTCACCCGATGCGCTCCTGCTCCATGGCCTCCATCTTCTCGGCGCGCGCGATCACGCTGTTGATGATCTCCTTCTCCTCGTCCGTCAGCTCCTCCTGCTTCCGCTGGCCGGCGGGCTGACCGCTGGGGTGCACGGACCAGCCCCCCTGCAGCCTGAGAGAGGAGGGGAAACAGCGTGAGACGCCGGGCCCGGGGACCGTCCCGCTGCGGGGCCCGGCGCCAGAGCCCTCGTCAGAGTCAGCCCTCCTGCAGCCTCCTCCGCGCTCATGTGCGCACCGGGGACGAGCCCCCTTCACGGGGTCCCAGGGCTCCAAGTGCTCAGCCCGCGGCGGGCCAGCCCCATATTGTGGTTTGCAGGAAACTCATGCAAGTGGGGGGGCGGGGGCAAGGGCGTGTACAGACCAGACACCCACCAGCAGAATGTGTCACTGGCTGTGGGGGAAGGGGAGGCAACTGGAAGTTTGTTGCGGGGTGGGGTCACACTCGGTATGCTCAGGGCTGACTCCTGGCTCTGTGCTCAAGAGGACACTTTGGTGGGCTTGGAGGACCCTCTGCCGTCCGAATCCGGGTTGGCCCCGTGCGGGACAGGTGCCCTGATGCTATACGACCGCTCCAGCCCTAATGTCTGTGTCTGCCCTGACACCACGAGCCCCTCAGATGGGGCAGACAGAAGCAGGGACCCTGACCCGTTCCGTGGCCACTACAAACAGTACCCAGGGAGAGAAGGCCAGACGAAGGCAAAGTGCTGTTAAATGTCCATCACGGGCTCGTGTCCTGATGAGCAGATGAGGCCCACAGTAGTGACCTCAGGCACATGGGCCAAGAGCTGGGTGCGGGGTGCTGGCCTGCCCCGTGTGGGGAGAAGGCGTAAACCACTCAGGGGCTCCGGCAGGAATCTTAGCAAAACTTTTTTTTCTCTGTCATTGTCATTCTTTGAGGACCTGCTGCCACTTCCCTGCACTGGTCCCCAGAGTGTCCTACAAAGCCCAGAAAATATGCAGAGTAGCTGTAGAGGCAGAACTGCGGGGAAGGCGCGCTTGCCCTGCCCTTGTGGGCAACCCCGGTTCCATTCCCGGCATCCCGTAGGGTCCCCTGAGCACCAGCAAGTGTGGCCTAAAAACAAAAAGCGACACAAAGAAAATCCCCAGAGGGCTCATGTGAGCCAGCCTGAGCCCTCAAGGGCCCTGCAAGGGCAGAGGGTGCCCTGGATCTGCAGCCTGTGGGCAGTCTCTCCCGGGGCCGTGTTTTCTGTGTCTGAACAGTGAGGCGGGGATGCGAGCGGTACCACAGGGCCACCGGGGATTCAGGGTGAAGATGCAGGTGATGGGAGGCAGAACCGCAGCTGCTCCCTCCGGCTCCTGGCTCCTCCTTAGTCCCTTAATTGAGCCAAATAAGTGCCCTCGGTTACTTCTTTTATTGCTCAGGAATTACTCCTGGCAGTGCTTGAAGGACCATGTGGGATGCCGGGGATTGAACCCAGGTGGGCCATGTGCAAGGCAAACGCCCTTCCTGCTGTACCATGGCTCCAACCCCTGCCCTTAGCAATTTAGCATGGGACAAAGGACCTCATGAACATCTGTGACCTAACACCCCCCCCACACACACAAACACATCCTTTCTGGGAACTGGGGCAGTGGGGCGGGGGCCGGAGAGGGGTTGTGATGCTGGATTGGACTCGAGAGTGTCAAGAGGCTGCCTGGCCACTGGCAGGGTGGACTTTCAAACCTAGCTGGTCCAGGCGCTGCCCACAGTGACACACTGAGAGAGCCCCATGCAGGGTCAGCTGTGGAGTTGCTCCCTAGTGTCCTGTTCGCTCACCATTCCCAGCTGACAGCGTGGCCTCAGAGCTCCCTGGGGATCACCCAGCCTGTGCCACACACGCTAAAAAGTACTACAAGCTCCGATTGCTTCTCTCTCCCCCTCTCCAGTGCCCCAGAGGGAGCGGCTGAATCCACTTCCTTGCAGGGATAGGTGCTGTGCAGCCCTGAGGTGAGCCCTGTCTATCCCCGTCCTCCGGGGACACCCAGGGCAACCTCCTGGGTGCAGTGGGGCTGTCACTGGCCACTGTAGACTGCCCGATGGTTTGAGACAGGAAGCGGCCCGCCAAGATCAGCCCAGCCTCCAGTGGGGCTGATGGACCCATGGCCATGGAATAACTGTCCTGCAGCGCCAACTGTTTTGTGGTTGTTCTGGGGGGGCCACACCGGCTATGCTCAGGGCTTACTCCTGACTCTGCACCCAGAATCACTCCTGGTGGGGCTCAGGGGACGTCTGAGGTGCCAGGGATTGAACGTGGGTCAGCAGTGTGCGAGGCAACCACCCTCCCTGCTGTCCTATTCTTCTGGCCCACAACAGCCCCAAGTTTTTTTTTTTTCTTTTTGGGTCACACCCAGGAATGCACAAGGGTCACTCCTGGCTTTGCACTCAGGAATTACTCCTGGTGGTGCTCAGGGGACCATATGGAATGCTGGGAATCGAACCTGGGTCAGCTGCATGCAAGGTAAACGCCCTACCTGCTGTGCTATTGCTCCAGCCCCAGCCTCAAGTTGTAAGGTGGCGCTGACCCAGCAGCGGGCACCAACCACCTTCTCCAGGGCAGTCGCTCTGACTTGGCACAGCCCACCCATGGCCTCACCACCTCCCTGCCCTCCCACTTCTCTTCTGAATAAGAACGTTTCAGTCAGGAACTTCACTGCCAACAAGACACCTAAGGACTCCACCGCGTTAGACATGGAGGAAGCCCCGAAGCTGAGATGGAGATCCACTTTGCCTGAACGCAGCCCCCCTGCAGGCTGTCCCAGGAGGGGTCAGAAGGCAAGGTCACCGCAGAGGGCCTCAACCCCAAGGGGAATTCAGTCCTAGCCTCTCTCCCTCTGAGCCTGCGGAGGCCAGGCCCCGGGCCACCTTGATCCTTCGTCCCAGGCGCACAGAGCGGTGGAACAAATGCCCACCAGATGTCTCTATTAATGAGCCGGCGGCCCCCAAGGAGCGGCATGATGGAGATGCTGTCGGGGCGCAGATGCTCTGGAGCGTTAAACAGCCGCCACGCGGAAAATTAATCCCTTCTCTTCCCTTTCTTCCTCTGCAGCCTGCCCGACCCCAGGGGGCCCACACAGGCTGGTCGTGAAGGAGGCCAGGGCGCTGGGGAGGGCAGCTGACCCCAGGACTCTATGCACTGTCCTGATGGCCGACAGGCCCTTTTGGGGGACTCACCGGATGCGGGGTCCCATGCGCCCGCTAACCCTGTACGCCAGGCGATGTCTCTGTCTCACAGTGGACTTTACCTTGCTGGGTCCCCACTAGGAACTTTGACGTACCTCTCCCCTTCCTGGGCCCCAGTGTGTCCATCACGGCTTCCAGAAAGTTCTCTCATCGTGCCTCCTCAAGTCTGACCCTGGAACCCCTCTGGAGTCCCACAACCCTCAAGGAGATCTTTGCTTTGTTGGGTCCCCACTGGGAACTCTGCTGCCCCTCGCCTGCTCCTGGGCCCCGGCATAACCATCATGGCTTCCAGAAAGCTCTTTCATCATCAGAAAGCCTCCTCAAATCTGGCCTCGGCACCCCTCTGTGGTCCCACAACCCCCCAGGAGGTGCTACAAGAGCTCTTGGCACACCAGGCAGCAGGGCTCAGCGACTCCTTATTCGTTTGATGGTGGACCTCCGTGGACACACGGTCACCCTTGGGCTGTCCCTGGAATTCCAGGCCCAGAGCTCAGCATGGGGCTGGGCTCACGCAGACTCAGTGTTGATTAAGGAGGATGGAGGTCGGGGTGGTGCAGGGGGGGCCAGACCCAACCTACCCCCGCAGGCCCGGGAAGTCCCCAGCAGCCCTTGGGTCCCCTCCTGAGAGGATCACCTTCGTGACTACAGCCCCGCCTTCCTCAGAGCACCCCAGGAGATCACTCATAATGTCACGACCAACACGTAGATGAGCTGGCCAGAGAATCTCACCAGATAACAGTGGAGACTGCAGGACACTTGGACAGTGGCTGTCTGCCAGCAGCAAGCCCCCACCTGACATATGGAGAAACTGAGGCAGGAAGCCAGGAGGAAAAGTTCCCTTGTTACGGGGCCAGAGCACTAGTACGGTGAGGAGGGAGTTTGCCTTGTATGTGGCCAACTTGGGTTTGATCCCTGGTATCCCATATGGTCCCCCTGAACAGCGCCAGGAGTGATTCCTGAGTGCAGAGTCAGGAGGAACCCCTGAGCACTGCTAGGAGTGACCCCAAAAAAGAAAAAAAAAAGAAAGAAAAAAGTTCCCTTGTTAATCACTTCTCAGTGGGAATGAGACCCCTGGAGCATCTGGGACCTTCGAGTCCTTCACAAAGGCCAAATCACGCCATGACGATTCTCGTGCACAGATCTCCAATGCACACAGCATGCATACGCCATCCACACGCATGTGTTACTCGTACACACATATCAACGGTCTACACTCAGCATCCCGTGTACACAGCAGCACCCCTGTGCCACAATGTCTATCCGTGGCAAGGCCCAGTACGGTTCATGCCTCTCTCCCGCTTCGCTGGGCGCCTGCCAGTTTACAGAGCTTCCCTCTGCGCCTCGCCCAAGGCTGCAAGTTACCTTACCCTCCCCCCCTGCAAAGGTGGCAGCCAAGACCCAAGGAGGTCCAGGGCAGTGCCCAGGCCACCGCTCAGCTCCAGGTCCCTGTTTGCAGCTCAGTGCCAGGTTCCACATGTCACGGGAATGAAGTGGGGTGTGGGGTGAGTGTCTTTCTGCAGCTTCTGACCATGCCTGCAATAGCCCAGCTGCTCAGGGATCGCCTCCAGGTCCAGCTCTGTCCATCACTTGACGAATCCAATGTCAAGTGTAGCGCTTGGGAGCACTTCAGGTGATCCGCTGCTCGCCCTGAGTGGGGCTTGGGGGTCACGCCCAGGCTGCTCCGGCCCAGCACGGCTCACTGGAGCCCTTTTCTTATCTCTGGACAGTGGCCCTTGGCAACATGCTGTAGGGACAGGACTCAGCATGGCCACGAAGATGCTGTGACCTTTGTCATCGCCAAGCAACAGCCGAGGTGAGGACCAAACCGAGGCCCTAAGCGTCCCAGGCTCTGACGAAGACGGGTGGATGGGGGCTCCCTAGCGGTGCTCATCCCGGGGCTGAGTTCAGTGTAAGGGTCTGAGGATGTGGCGATGCTTGGGCCCTGCAGGGCCAGGGACCCCCAGGCTGCCCCCCGCAGTGCTGGGATGAGGGGGCAGTTGGTACCAGGAACCAAACCTGGGCCACTGACAAGCTGGTGTCTGCCCCAACCATTGAACCTCTCAACCCCTGATCAGAATTTTTTTTTTTACTTCATGCCCCTTCTCATTGTGGAGGTGGTGGCTGTTTTTATAATAATTTGACTTTGTTTTTAGGTATATAACATTTACCACTCCCCCTGGGGCCAGAGCAATGGTTCAGCAGGTAAGGAGTACTATTGCATGCAGCCAACCTGAATTCTGTCCCTAGTATCCCATTAAGGTCTCCTGAGTGCTGCCAGGAGTGATCACTGAGTACAGAGCTCTGAGTATGGCCCCCAAACAAAGCACACACACACACATACACACACACACACAAATTATTTTTCTTCTCCCTTTTAAAACCATTCCTCTTTCATAAGATAACATAAATAGGAGACTGACATCCAAGGAGAGTAGACACAAGGTCTAGGAATATTGCTCCATTATTGGAAATATGCCTCATGAGATGGGGCAGAAGGCAGCTGGGATAGAGAAGGGATCACTAAGTCAATGATGGTTGGAGGGATCACTCAGGATGGGAGATGTGTCGTGAGAGCAGATAAAGGACCAAACGTGGTGGCCTCTCAGTATCTGTATTGCAAACCATTATGTCCCCCAATAGAGAGAGAGTATGGAGGAAATTGTCAGCCATAGAGGCAGAGGGAGGGTTTGGATGGTGGTGGTGGTGGGGATATTGGGGACATTGGTGGCAGAAAATGTGCACTGGTGGAGGGATGGGTGTTCGATTATTGTATGACTGAAACTCAAAACATGAAAGCTTTGTAACTATCTCATGGTGATTCAATAGAAATAAAAATAAAAAAGAAAGTCAATGCAAATTATTTAGTAATGAAAAAAAAACAACCAAAAACAAACCAATTCCTCTTGAGGGACAAAAGAGAAAATCCAGTTTTAGAAAAGGAAATCTCCCCTTTCCCCCTCAACCACACACACACACATACACACACACACACACACACACACACACACAAATACTCACTGTTCTTTATCACTGAAGGAAGGCAAAGACAGGAGAGAAAGGGGGGAAAAAAAGAAAGAAATGAGCAAAGTTAGGAAAGAATTCTCAGACCGAGACCAACGGAGGAGGTAACACCCACATCTCTGTACACGACAATGACCTACTTCCATTTTTCTGCTGGTAATTATTTTAGTGCAGCAGAAACAAGGCCGCAGCGACGTGGGCCTGTAAAATCTATAGCTTTGATTAAAATGGCCCGTCAGTCCAGCTCGTTAATGAACAGAACCGCAGCTGAAGCATCTGAGTACCGGTCTCCTGTCAGGAAGAGTCCCTGGAGCTAACAGGGCCACCCATTCTCCGGCGATCAGGAGAACCTCGGGCAAAAGGCAGGGAGCCCAGAGGCTCCTGGATCATCCACAGGTCAACCTGGACTGCCAAGGCCTGAGGAGTCAGGTTCTTATATCCCAGGAGGGGCAGCTTGGGTGGAGTGCAAGCGGGTCCTCTGACTGCTGGCACACGCTGGTGCGCACTTGAAAGCCACAAAGAAGTTCTATTTTGGCTCCCCCAGGCCAGTGGCAGACCCATGGCCCTAACTGAGTCTCCATCAAGCACTTCTACAAGGTGCTTCAAACATTTTGGGGTACCAGCGGGCTGAGGGAGAGCAAGTTCTCTGACATCACCCATGGAGTAAGTGACCCCGGCGGGGGCACTGTTAAATCCTGGCCTGCCTGAAATTCTACATTTGCTACAGAAAGACATTTGGAGCCTCTGTACTAGCACCTCTGAAGCAGACACGGTAGTGTGTGTGTGTGTGTGTATGTGTGTGCATGTGTGTGCATATGTGTGCACATGTGTGTGTGTACGTGCTTGTGTGCAAGCACGTGAGCGTGTGTCCAGGTGTGTGCGTGTGCATGATGATTATGATTCACCCATTTGCATGGGCTGGGAAATAATTTTAATATCTGCAGAAAATGCAGAGCAATCCTGCCAGTCAGCGACATTTCCAATGCCATGATGGTTCGCGGGAGCCCTGAGCAGGTGAGTCAACTGTGTCGGCCCACTGCACGTTCCAATTCCACTGTAAGGCAAATTGTTTGGCTTTCAATTGATTGGAGGAAGCCTGATGGGGGGATTTTAATTAACTGACATTTCTATAACCAAATAAATGTCCCCCAGCCATCCTTCAGGCAACTGTTTATCTTAGAGAAACACATTTTGGGGGTGGGTGGGTGGATGGGATAGTCTTTGCAAAGTAAGTTTGACGACATTGACCGATGCACTTAAGCCAGTTTCCTGTGGAAAAGGAGCCCCAAGTTCCCGGCATTTGCAAAGCAGTGAAGAATGGGGGTGGGGATGGGGGGGGGTGAGTTAGCTTCAGAAGCAGAAATGGGGCTTTAACCACCTCAAGAGGCCAAAGCAGTCCCTTTGCTGTGCAGTCAGGGGATGCAGGAAAGGAGGAATTCTTTAACACTCCCTGTTCCAGAGAAATTGTAAGGGAATTTTCCGACACCCCCACCTCCCCTGCTGTTTCCAAACAAAATCTGAGTTCGTCAAGATTAAAGCTTTCTTCTTCAAAAGATGCTGTTCCTGTTTGTATCTAAAGGTAGGGCCTTGACTGAGAAAATATTTGCCAAGTGTCTCTCAAGGAAAGAGCTTTTATCCATATTTAAAAGGCCCATCAACCGAGGAATGAGAAGATAAAGAGCCTGATTCTAAAACGGACACAAGACTCCAACAGGCATTTCACTATACAGACAGAAAAACATCAGAAGATGGTCCCTGCCGTTAGCATCAGGGAAATGCAGAGACCTTTCACTACACACATGAGAACGGCTGGAACCGCAGGTTCTGGCGCTCACACGGAACTGGACAGCGCTGGTGCAAATTTAAGATGGTGGGAACTGCCTCTGGGGTTCTCAGGCTGAGCTCACAGCCAGGGGCCACCAGCCTCCCCAGAGACAGGCAGGATGAGTGGACAAGCTGCAGGGACTGGATAGGCCATGCAGGAGAAAGATCCATGGGCCAGTTAAGGCCCGAGCAGCGCATCTGTGGGATGTGCCCACCGTGGCCGATGTCAAACATTCACAGGAAGCCGCCTGGTGCCAGGCTGGCAGAGACCTTGGACAAGGGGGATGTGGGGGTTTGGGGTGCTGACCCTGGGCACAGCTCCAAACCCACCAATGACCTTCTCTGCCCCCAGTTTTCTTGCCAATGGCCTGCAGTGGTGGGAAGCCTGTGGAGAACGTGCACCGTGGAGTGAACGCCTGGTATAGGGCACAGGCATCGCAAACTGTGTTCCTCCGATGTGCGAAACTGGAGAAAGGAAAATGTTACTAAGGGGACCCTTAGGGAGACGGTTTCCTGCGTCTTTCACACACGCTGCATTCACCAAGACTGAAGTTTACGAGAAAATCTGCATAGACCTGTGGCTCAAACCTGGGTGTTTCAAGGGTGGCCAGAGACACGTGTGGGTGCGTGACACGGGAGGAATAGAACAGTGAAACGGTTGAGAGCGATTTGACTTGAGTTCCGCTCATTTTTGTGGTCAAAGCTAAGAGCACCAGGAACACAATGGCTTCCTTCACTTGGCCACTCTCGTGACCTCACAAACAAGAACTGCAAGCCGGGGGTTTTCCACCGTCCCCCAGGGCACAGCCCCTGGCCACAGCCCACAGCGTCACACAGTTCCAAGAAGTGCAGGAGTGTAGCACACCATAATTCACTCAGAACGAATCACCGAAGACAAGAATACAGGTGGAGGCCCCCCCAATGCCTGGAAATTTTGAAAGGCACCTCTCAAGAACTCTTGGGTTGAAAGATAGGATCCTGAGGAAATAAAAAAGCGGCAGCACACAGAAATGAGAAAGAAGGAAAACAGAGTATGTTAGAGCTTGTGGGAGCGTGGGAATGTGGCACTTGGCGGGAAATTCACCTGCAATCCTCCATATTAGAAGAGAATGAGGGGTTGGAGTGATAGCACAATGGGTAGGGCGTTTGCCTAGCACGCGGCCAACCCGGGTTCGATTCCCAGCATCCCATATGGTCCTCTGAGCACCGCTAGGAGTAATTCCTGAGTGCAGAGCCAGGAGTAACCCCTGTGCATTGCCGGGTGTGACCCCAAAAAGAAAAAAAAACAAAAGAATAAAGAAAGAAGAGAATGAGAGATTCTATAAATATGGGAAATCGAGTAGTTGGGCTAATAGACCCAAAGGAGGAAGGATAAGAGCATAAATGAATAAAATGGAAATGAGAAAGCAATATTGAATCACAGAGAAAGACCCTCTCTTCAGCCGCAGGAACGCTTCAGGAAGAGTCTTTGCTGCCTCCCTGCTGGACTGTAATCCCTGAGCTCACAGCTGAGCATCCAGAAAGGGAGAGAGTCTCGGGCTTTGTCTTGGGGCTTTGTTGAGGCAATTCCCTAACATGGCGTCTTTTCGTTACATTGATTTTTACATTTATTCACGAGAAGCAGAAACTGATTATTCCTTTACCTTCCCGCAGTCAAAAATGTCCTTGCTGCACAGGTTCAAATTTTACAAGAAAAAAACAAATCCAATCTCAGCAAAAAGTGGGGAGAAGAAATGAAGAGAAACTCTCAAAGAAATCTGAATAGCCAAAAGGCACATGAAAAAATGCTCTTCATCACTAATCATCAGGGAGATGCAAATCGAAACAACGACGAGGTATCCTCTTACACCACAGAGGCTGGCACACATCCAAAAGAACAAGAGCATCCAGTGCTGGCATGGATGCGGGGAGAAAGGAACTCTCCTTCATTGTTTGTAGGAATGCCGACTGGTCCAGCCTTTCTTGAAAACAATATGAATATTCCTCGAAAAACTAAAAATTGAGCTCCCATTTGACCAAGCAATAACACCACTATTGGGAATATACTCTGGGGGCCCCAAAATACACAGCAGAAACACCACCTGCCTTCTATGTTCATTGCAGCACTGTTCACCATAGCCAGGATCTGGGAACAACCTGAGTGCCTGAGAACAGACAAATGGATAAAGAAACTATGGCACATGTATACAATGGAATACTATGCAGCTGTCAGGAAAGATGAAGTCATGAAATTTGCTTATAAATGGACGGACAAGAGAGTATCAATGCTGAGTGAAATGAGTCAGAAGGAGAAGGACAAATATAGAATGACTCCATTTACTTGTGGTACATAAAAAATACAGTAGAAGACTAATATTCATGGCCAGGGAAAACAGCGGCTAGGAAGACTGGTCAATGGTTGGAATCCACCACAAATGTGTGTGGGGCGGAGAGCAGGAAAGACAGAGAAGAGAACAGTTAGATAATAATAGCTGGGAATGATCACACTGGGCAAGATCTGAGTGTTAATAGTAGGTCACTGTCACTGTCCCTGTCACTATCCTCCCGTTGTTCATTGATTTGCTCGAGCGGGCCCAGTAATGTCCCATTGGAGACTTTTGTTGTTGTTGTTGTTACTGTGTTTGGCATATTGAATATATCACGGGTAGCTTGCCAGGCTATGCCGTGCGGGCAAGATACTCTTGGTAGCTTGCCGGGCTCTCCAAGTGTGGTGGAGGAATCGAACTCAGGTCGGCCAAGTTGGCTGCGTGCAAGGCAAACGCCCTACCGCTGTGCTATCGCTCTAGCCCGATAGTAGGTAAAGGGATATATATAAGATAACCTTTCAGTAACTGTATCACAAACCACATTGCCCACAAGGAGGGAGATAGAGATAGATAGAGAGAAAAAGAGAGAGAGAGAAGAAACGTGGGGGCATAATGGGAGGAAAACTGGGGACACTGGTGCTGGGAAATGTGCCCTGGTGGAGGGATGGGTGTTAGAACACTGTATGACTGAAACCCAATCACGAAAAGCTTTGTAAGGGTCTATCTCACAGTGATTCAATTTTAAAAAATCTTTAATTTTTTTTTTAAAAATAAAGCATCCTCACTAAAAAAGGGGGTTTGCATTTCAGAGTAAGTTCAGAGAGCAACATCGGTGCTGTTTCACCCGTCAGCTGAAACGGAAAGGTGACGTTCAACTGTGCCCAAAAGAATCCCTTTCTCAGGGCAAATAGGCTTCTCCAGTATTAACAAGGAGGCATCCGTGTTTTAAAATCCACCTCCACACCTTTCCCTGTGCAAGATGACTGGGTTCCCCGCCTGCCTTCCGACCCAGACACCAAACCCCGATCATCGACCTGAAACCCACAGAAAGACCCAGTTTCCATCGCTTCGAAGTCACCACGGGGATGGGTGGGTGCCAGGAAGCTGGCTGGGTTTTCAAGGGGGAATGGTGAGGTCTGTGGACACACAGTATATGCCCCTCCCCTTTCGCCTCCCCCCCCACCCCCCAGCCGGGGCTGATGAAAACAGTTCTGGGGCTGTCAGTGCTTAAAGAGAGGCTGGAATTCGGGTTTTCCTTGTATTTCCCCACTTTTAAATGTGACCACCAAGAATATATATTTTTAGGTCAGAGTGGGCCACCTTGGGCTTAGCCCTACGTTCTGACTGAACTGAAGAGGTGGCTGGGGAGGGGGTGATCTGGCGGGTCACCCAGCCCCATCCTCTCTGGCCCAGACCCAGAACCTCATCTGGCTCTGACCACTAGGGCGGCGCCACCTCAGCTGTCACCGCTTTGCTCTGAGACCCAGAGCTCAGACTCAACCTGCTGATGCTAACTTGGCAAAGAGAGAGAAAATCCAACATTTCCACGAAAAAATCGTGGACGTTCCATGACAAAATCCAACATTTCCACAGTCCCTGTCTTGCCCCCACCCTAGGAAGGAACTGCGGCCACTCCGTACTACTCCCTCCCCTCCAGGGACCTCGCCGACCGACCTGGGACTTACCTGGACTGCAGGGGCCGGTCACTGGGGTACGTCCAGCGGCTGGAGCCGCCGCTGAACACCGTGTCAGTCATGGTGACAGTCGAGGCACCTGGAAAACAACCCAGAGAGGAGGCGGCTCAGTCGGGCGTGTGCGCCTCTGTTCCCCAGTCCCTGCGCTGGGCACGAGGACCGGGACCTTCGCAGGACCCCCTCCACGTCCTGATGGCAGAGCACAGGGAGGGCGTGTGTCTGCTGGGTGTAACCAGCACCCGTGGGCTGGGTGGGCTGGCATGGGCCGGCGTGGGGGCTCCTTCCCTGCAACTCTGCTGTTACTCCCCACTAGCAAACACAACCATGTGCCCGGCAGGGCACATGCGAAGCTCTGAACGCCAGCCCGGGGATGTTGGCAGCTTGGTTATGGGCCAGCTAAACACACACACACACACACACACACACACACACACACACACAAGAATTTGTGGTCGCAAAGATCTGGAGTCATTTGGATTTTGGTTTTCTAATACTTGATACTTGGCCTGGAGCAATAGCACAGCGGGTAGGATGTTTTCCTTACACACTGCTGACCGGGCTGTCCCGGATTCGATTTCTCTGCCCCTCTTGGAGACCCCAGCAAGCTACCAAGAGTATCTTGCCCGCACAGCAAAGCCTGGCAAACTCCCCGTGACGTATTCAATATAAACACAGTAACAACAAGTCTCACAATGGCGACGTTACTGGGCCCGCTCGAGCAAATCAATGAACAACGGGAGGACAGTACTACAGTGCTAATACTTGATACTAGTGCTTCTCATCCCCCTGGCGCCCCCCCCCCGGATATTCCAATGGTCACAGGTAAAAACAATGTCAGTGGGACCCCAGCACAAGATTACAGACAGTGCCCTACCCTGGCAGGCCAGGGCGGGGCACAGAAACAAGCTCAGGAGGGCCCAGGAAGGTGGGCTGAGGGAGGGGGAAGGGCCCCGAGGCACCTGGAAATCCTCCATCGTCCCCCCATCCCCCTGATGCTCACAGCTGCCAGCCCTGACCAGCCACAGCCACCCAGTAATTCCACTCCAGAGAGCCGAGATGCCCTGAGGCCCGCACACACAGCTTAGCCGCCATCTCCCAACGGGACCCTGATGGCAGTGATCGCCAAATAGTGGATGGATAAACCGAATGTGCCTTGGGAGGTCACTCCCGTCCGCAGAGGAGGGAATGGCTGGCGCAGGTATCACTGGCTAACAGGCTTCTCCTGGGGTAACAGGGGTGTCCCGTGATTCACTGTCCCGATGGTCGCTCTGCAAACAGGCGGAAGCCGCTGAAGTCTCTCAGCCAGGCTGGGGGCATGGACCACTGCTCTGGGGAACTCGGTGATTTATTAAAACTCGACAGTCCTCTGCCCTGTGGCTCAAGAACATCACTCAGGTGAAGACCGAAAGAAAAACGCTCAGAGGCAGAGCCACGTCCACAGATACATGACGTTGTTCATGACGGCTGGATCCTGGACGTGTTCTAGCTGCCCCGTGGCGGGGTGAGATATTTCGGCTGAGGAGACAGAGCTCACACTTTGCAGGGCTGCCAGGCCGACCCCGGTGCTGAGAAATGGAAAGGAGGAGAGAAACAATGGACCAGGCACCCGGGTCGCGGGAGGCCGGGAGAACAGAGTCAAGGCAGACGCAGCTCGGACACTTAGGGCCGAGCAGCTTCCCTTGGTGTTGGTGAGTGTGCACAACGGACGGCTGAGGGACAGTGACAGAAACCACGCCCGAGGCCCTGAGGCCTCTGCACGGGGGAGGGGCACAGGGGGCATGAGGGGGAAACGCAGAGGAGGCTCCAGTCTGGGGCTCCATCTGCAAGGGATAAAGTTCAACACTCACAGGAGTGCCCGGGGTCCCCCTCTCTCCACAAGGGGCACTCGGGGGTGTCCCTCTCTCCATAAGGGACACTCAGGGCTGCCCCTCTTTCAATAAGGGGCACTCAGGTGCTCTTTCTCTATATAAGAGGCACCCAAGGATGCTCTCTCTCTCTAAGCGGCATCCAGGGACGCTCCCTCTCTCCCAAAGGGACACTCAAGGGGCTCCCTCTCCCCATAAGAAGCACCGCGGCCCCCCCACCCCCACCCCCACTGAATGAGGTATACCAGTGCTCACATCCACGCCAGGCTCCCAGATTCTCTGGCCTCCCTCTGCTCCGAGGACAAAGCCTAAACTCCATGGCACCGCCTGGCTCCTGCCCTCTGCCTTCCCTGCCCAGCCCTCAGTCCCCCAGGCTTCCTGCTGCCCTTCACACCGCCGTGTCCTCCTGGGGGGTTGCCGGCAGACCCCAGCTTGTCTCCCGCCCTTCCCTGCTCCCGCTCACAGTCACCTCCTTCGGGCCTCCCCCGGCAGCCAGTTCCGAGCCCCTTGATCCCCAGCTCCTCCCCAAGGGTTGGCACCTGGGTTTTGCTGCCTTTGGCAGGCGCAGTGGGGAGCCCCAGGGCCGCCATTTCTGGGGCCCGCCCCCCCCATCCCATGACACCAACAGCGAAGCAAACATCCTACATACCTGACAACCTGACCTGAACTCGCGCCCGGAGCCTGCGGCTCTCCTGACTCACGACACTCAGCCAAGCCCCCTGACTGGGTTCCCGTGCAGCCCACCAGGCCCATCTGGCCCCGGAGACATGAGAACCAGCCAGGGGACTTGCATCTAGACCATAGGAACACGAAGACGTGACCAATGCTCTAATGACCTGCGGCCGAAGCCAGCCCATCTGCACGCAGCTCCAGGGCGCTTTGAATCCTCCCCCAACGTGGACAGAACATGCTGGCCACACGCAGGCCTGGGCTCTCTGGCAGCTGCCATCTGGGTCCTCCCAAACCAGGGTCACAGGACCCGATCCGCGAGGCCACCTGGCAGAGCTGTTCCGACCCAACCCAAATGAGTCCCTGAGCAGGGGGAGGACAACTCCTTAAACCAAGAGGAACCAGGGGAGCCATCGGCAGCAGCGAGGGTTTGTCCCAACTTACCCACGTGTTGTTGTTTTGCTCATTAGGGGCAGCTGGCTGAGGCTGGGATGGCAGGTTTGGGGTGGGAGTGTTAGTCTAGCGGGCAGGGGGCTTGCCTTGCACGAAGCCTACTGGGGTTCAATTCCCAGAGTCCCAGGTGGCCCCCTGAGCAGGAGTGATTCTGAGCCAGGATCGCTCCTGGCAAGCTCCCTAGGGTATCATATGGGTGTCAGGCATCAAACCTGGTCCGCCACATGCAAGGCCAGCGTCCCACCCACTGCTCCAGCCCCTAGGATGTCACCTGGCTCCTCCAATATTCAACATGGTATTAGAGCTCCCAGTGATAGGAATTAGATAAGAAAAAGAATTCAAAGACATTGAAATTGAAGTAGAAGTTCAACTATCACTATTTGCAGATGACACAATACATAGAGTACCTTAAGGATTTCATCCCCCCCCCAAAAAAAACAATAAAAACACTTAGAAATAATTAAATACAGTAAAGCAGCAGGCTACAAAACCAATTACCAGTTGCATTGACAGTTTCAACGCAATCCTTAAATTTCAATGCTATCTTTCAAGGACACAGAACAAACTCCACTAAAGTTTGTATGGATTCCTAAAACTTCCTGAGTAGCCAAAGCAATCTGGAGGAAAGAAGATGGTAGCCAATGCATTCCTGGGCTACAAACTATACTCTAGAGTGACAGGAATTAGCACAGTGTGGTACTGGGATAAATCCAATCCATCTTAGTCCTGCACACCTCACCTGGGCAGGCACCAGGGAGATGTCTACTGGGCTAAATGCTTTTGGTGGGTGACCTTGCCTGATTCCCCACCACATACTCTGTTGATAACTACATCAGCTCCATGAATGGGACTTCCTTTATTATTATTTAAACATTTTTTTTGGCTTTTTGAGTCACACCCAGCAATGGTCAGGGGTTACTCCTGACTCTGCACTCAGGAATCCCTCCTGGGGATGCTTGGGGGACCACATGGGATGCCGGGGATTGAACCAGGTTGACCACGTGCAAGGTAAACACCCTCCCTGCTGGACTATCGCTCCAGCCCAGAGGGGGTTTCTGAGGTTCAGAGGGGAGTGTACATTCTGCCTGGCTGGTGATGGATGGAACAGGGATTTGTCTCACAAATGCTCATGCCAGACCCTGGCCTCTCCATCTCTTGACTCCACCGTCCCCAGGCGTGTTGTAAAGAAGAGGGTGCAAAGATGTAGGCAAGACCACAGACACAGCATTTGGAGTATACGTGCTGAGCTTGGAGCCACTACTGGTCCCTTTTGTCACCACATAGGAAAGGGCTGCCAAAGGATTAACGTCGAGCTGAGAGACAGGGACTGATTCCTGATGATGGTACCCGAGTGCTGGATCCAGCCAGACCTGAATCTGTCGTGGCCTTTTAGGCTACTAGCAGTCAAGAGACCACCTTTTCCCCCACCCCTCCTCGAGTCAAATCTGAATAAAAAGTTTACCTCTGCAACCAACCTAAGCTCTCTCTGTGTGTCTTCACAAACTATTCATCTTGGAGCAAGCTGACATCTCAAGGACAATAAAGACGGACTGAAAAAGCAGGGAAAATGAGGGAGAGCAGCCTCCATCCCTCCCTCAGTGTCCTCTCTCCTCTTTTCCAGACACGGCTACCAAGGCTCGGACCTCACAGGATGGGAAACAACTGGAAAGCATCCTCCACCAGGGCCTGCTGGGACCCTGTGGTGACAATTAAAATTCAGTGGCGGTAAACAGCACTAATTAAAAGCAAAACGAAGTGCTTAATAAGACAAATGAGGTGGCAGTATTAATAGCCGGGATGAGCGAGCTGGCATTAATTAAAAACAAAGCCAAATGCGCCCCGCCTCTGAAAGTCTGTGTGAGTGTGAGTGTGTGTGTGTGTGTGTGTGTGAGTGTGTGTGTGTGTGTGTGTGTGTGTGTATGGAAAAGGGTTAGATCTGTTAGCACCTGGCTGAAGATTCTAGGATTGAGTCCGCTGGGGGGCAGAGGGAGAGGGTCCTGTGGAGAATGGGGGTGTTGAGGGTATACCTGGAAGGATGATCTGAAATGGGCAGACAGGTGCAGGAATGGATGATCTAGGACGCAGGGATGGC